AGCCAATTTTTTTTTTTTTTTTTGCAAATTGATGTAAGCCATTGAACTGGAAACAAAATCAAATGTAAAAAAAATCTTTGAGGATTATCCTTGATAAGATTGTCATGAAGATATGGAGATCCTCTAGAAATGTTGAGGATCCTTGAGAGATTTTCACCAAGAAAATCACAAAGTATATAAATAGTTAAATCTAACACATGAGTGACATACTCAAGAGTCTGCACTGCTTGAAAGTTTTCAGCAGAGTCAAAATCCATGCTATTTGGATGGTTTGTGAACAGTTTCACTGTTTTTGGTCCTCTCCCTGAAAAAACAGTAATCAGAAATGTTGGTACGACATGCTCCACAATTCTACAGAATGATTTTACATATTTTCAAACATGTACATGTATGCTTTCCAATATTACTCCTTTCTACACCCTCCCTCACCACAATGTTGACTCCCACCCAAAACTTTTCCTAAACAGATTAAAAGAGACATCCATGAAGGATGCAGCATTGAAATACTAAATGTCCGCTTTCATCATCATCATCATCATCATCATCATTAGCCATAACCCTCCTGGGGATATTGTGCTATTAAAAAATATTACAACATGAATTTGCAAAGTTTAAGAGGGCATAGATTTGTAAGCTCCATAAAATGGAAGCTGTTCCTGTGAGAGTTACAGCTTGACTGGACTTTGTTTGGTTCATGGGACTGAGTAAACGCCATTGATCGGACTGGGGGATTGGATGTACATCAAGTGTTGCACCTCCTATTATGGTAAGGAACAATGGCAACAACAATGGGAATGTCGCCAAATAAACTTGGTTTTATGAGCAGTACAATGGCTGATCCACTTACCATCATCTGGACCTTGTATCTTAAGGGAGTGAAGTTTTACAGCTTGGTTGAAGGCTATTGTAACCAGTAACTAGACAGTAACAAAAAACAACAACATTGTAGATCGGTGTGTTTCAAGGCTCAGAAATACACTGTACAAGCCTTGTGAAAGTTAGTTGTCCCATGTTGATTCTTGGTGCACAGCTACAGTGTACATACACAAGGCTTCCAATATTATACATATATGTCAATGTCCACCTTGGACAACCTATAAACAACACTGTAAAATATTATTTTTCAAAAAGAAGACACCTTCCAGCCCTGTCAAATTTGCTGGTAGCCAACAATAAATTTGCTGCCCATAGTTACTGTACATAATAAAAATTATTTGTTGCACACTTCACACTAGAGTCCACAGTTTACATTGTACATGTATCCTAAATATTAAAAGTACATTGTAAGTGTCAGGTATCTACTGCCCACAAATTACATAATAATATTATGTAGAACAGTAATTATTCTGTCTACTACCACAACACATTTTGACAGGGCTGACTTCCTAATATGCGAGTGCTAGAATTCAAGGCCCTAAGACTTTGTCTAGACCTGGTGCAGAACCACAGAGAAAAAAAGGACAGCCTTGGGTTGTACATCATGGAGAGAGGCAGCAGTGGTTGCACATGACCAAGTGGCATAGCAAAGAAGAATTCACAGCCCATTCTCCCCAGGGGATTAAGGCATAAAAAAGAATTTGTCAAATACTCAGCTCAATTTGTTTTGCTGTACCTGTTCATCACAGTCACTTTCCAAATAATCTGGACCCTTGGCTAGTGCAGCTGGTAGATGGTAATCATCACTTTCATTTAGACATTCACATCCACTCTTGTTTATAAAAGTACCTAAATCCATCTGTGATAAATTATTGAAAGAAAACAAAAACAATGCCAAAAACTCCAGCATTAGTTGCAATTATTACAAGTTTCAATGTTGTCACTTTTTAATAAATAAAATTATAATTAGCACTTTCTAGAATATCCCTGGTAACTGAACTATGTGCACAGCCACACTTACATGAATATATATCATTTATCGCTGCAAAAACTTTGTGCCCCGAAAACTATCACATGCATTTACATGTAACGCTGTTAAATTTAAGTTTTCTTTTTTCAACTTGAGTGATGAAGAGATTGTGACAATCGTGATAATGCTAGATGCATACTGTCATATAACTTACATGCCCCTTTACACCAACATCACTATCACTGTCGCCGATCCATTTGATTATTTTTTCTTTCAGTTTCTTTGGATCAGCTCCACTCATTTCATCCACCTTGACTTTCCCTTTAAAGAAAAGAAATGTAGGCATGGAGGAGACACCATATCTGGCTGCTATATCCTACATGTATGAAAGCAAAATAAGGAAAAAAATAAGATTCAGTGGTGTAGAGAAAGAGGTCACAAAATCCAATCAAGTAAAGAGGGTTGTTACTTGAGATCACATGGAAAACCATCTAATTAACTACCTACACATTTTTTTTATTCCTGATTAGTATTTATTTAGACACAGTCATGTATAATGTACATTAGTTTACTAACCTCACATTTGTCCACATCAACTTTCAGAAAAACTGCTGCTGAATACTCTGTACTAAGTTTAGAAAAAGTAGGAGCTATATTTTTGCAAGGTCCACACCTGTGTGTTACATGTATGTACAAAAGAATATATTGAACATTTAGATCAGTGCAGCCATTCAAACATGACAATGATACATGTACGTTTCCAGTATATAAAGGCTTGTGGGTATATACATGTACCAAAAAATGCATTAATGACTCATGGGATGTAATATATTACACCAATCAAAAACTTTGCATTTAACTATTTTATACTATACCATAGAAGTACAGTGCCCGACACAATCAATGCAACATATGGACAATGCGTGAGAAAAGGGTGGATGTTATACTGCAGGATATACGATGACTTTCTTGTATTCTTATTGGCCGTATTTTCTATAGCATGGTTAGCATGTTCAGCATGTTATAGTTTAATTTTTACCCTAGTTGCTTTTAGGGTTGACCTGCGTACCATAAAAATAATATTATTATTCCACATGGCTACTTAAATGTAATTTTCATAATACAGCATCTATAACAAAATTCTCATTTGCGATTGGTTCTCCAAGTGCCTACCGTATTTGTCACGTAAATCAGCGTGCAATCACGTGGGTGTCCAATTTGAATTTGTTGTAACTGGATACCTGTAATTGGATACCCACATGACTCGCACACCAATTACGTGCGCTTTAATGGTTTCCTTCACAATATTTCCAACAGTTTTCAAAACTTATGAAAAGCGCTACAGACGTTTTCCCTCAAAATAAGTTCTCAAAAGGCATTTTTAATTCCGAAATAAATTATTTGTTATAGATACAATTAATTAGTAATTGGACCTCATGTCATACAAATCGTGCAAATCGTGCTCGTAATTTCAAATCGGCTTACACTTCACGCTCCTCCGATTTTGAAATTACTCGCAAGATTACTCCCTGAATTAAACTTTATTTGATCCAGTTACTATCAGGTATTATTATTTGTTTCAACCATTTTTTTTTTTTTTACTTGACACAGTTGTTTTCAACAACTCAATTAAAGCCAATAAAATACAAAACTTTTTTTTTGGCGATACTTTCAATAATCAGTAACTGAAGGTCAAGATACAAATTGACCACAATGCTCCACTGATATTTTTATCCACATTTGAGATCAGCTTAATTTTTCTCATCATCGAACTCTGGCTGTGCTCATTATATTCTATCCCTAACAGTTTTATAAGGCTCCTTCATACCATGGCTATATCATTCAGTCTTCATGGTATTGTGTGCTATGGTCTGTGCTCTGCGGTCATGATAAGCTTAAATGCAGTACCACATTTTAGCTTGCAAGGGCCTTAAGCTCAGCTATAAGCTTTACTTTTGCTGAGTCACTCGCGACAGAGCCACAATGGAAGTACATCTATTAAGTGTCTTTGTTTGAGTGTTATGACGCAAAAAAATTAATAACATAGCGTCTGTTTTAATAATGATTAATTTGGTTGTATAATAGCAAATTTCTGCTAATAAATTCCAATCTCAAGTGCTGCTAGAGTGTCGCTACGTGTAGTTACTTCTGCCGATAAATTTACGCTCATAGTCAAAGAGTTGAGCCTTGACTGATCACTATGAGTTTTACAGAGATGTTTGAAGAAAAATCTTTTCTTTACTCACCAAACTGCCATGAAATCAACAACTACAAGTTTAGCTCCAGCTTTGGTCATTTCTGACAGGAAATGTGAGTCATTTTCAATTACTATGACATTCCCTGTAGCTGCCGCCATATTGTCGGAAGAAAAAGTATTGTAGCCGCGAGGGACTGAGAGCAAGCGCATTACCATCGGGTTAAAACCGCTGATCAACTTTATTGTGGACCACAGAGATGTTGACAAAAAATGTCTTCCTCCTCTGTGGTCCCAGTTGTTTTGTGGGGAAGTACACCTCCTTCACATTGCATTTCGTGTGTCATAACCACTTATGATCAGAAAACAGTCGTCACTGGATCGACAGATGGACAGTTGGGTATCTGGGACCTACGGTTCGCCGATGATGGAGAGATCAAAGTAAGCCTGAGGGGACGTGGGGTTTACATTGGCGGCGATTTAGGGGCTAGTTTTTTCCCCAAAAAGTGTCAAGTAGTTACCTTTTTAACTTAATTTTTGGGAGGTTGAATTTTTTTCAATAGTAGGATCCCTCCATAGGCGAAGGAAGACTTTCGCGGCTGAATAATTTACTTGTTATGTGCGGGCAAGCCATAACAGAATTGACTGATGAGTGTTTGTTTAATTCTAATATTGAACAGAACATGCTCGGGTGCAAACAAAAAACACCTGCTTGTACAAGAGTCAGTCGTCTTCTATAAATTCTAGCCTCTGTTTTATTGGCTATCTACATTCCTACCCCCTCTCTCCTCTCCCTCCTCTGGGGTGATACAACAATCAATTTTGTAGTTTCATACAAAATATTAGTTCTTGATGTTTTCAAAGGATTCAAAACATAGGAAAGTCTGCAACATTTTTAAAAGGATAAAGACACAAAATTAAGGCCACAGAATTCTGCTAAATAAACTCAGTACAGGTGTCAAACCATTCCAGTTGGACAACAATGTGCATCTTATACAAATACATTCTTATCCATTGCTCATGATCATTTTAGTTGGCACCAAGAATTTTAACTGATTACATAACATAACATGTTTTATTTTATTTATTTATTACAATTTAATGGCAATTAAAATCTAAGTCTAAAGGCATACACAAACAAGCAAAGCCAGAAGGATAATCTGTAAAAGAGTGGAACACTCCATGTGAGACAGATAACCATAATAAAAACAAAATAAGATACATCTTGAAAAGGAAGAAACAGAGGTTGACCCTATCATGTTTCACCGTAAAAGAAAAAGATTAGAATTTAAAATATCTGTTTATCTATATACAATAAGATATTCATCAAAATAGCTGCAGTGTAAGAGTAAATTTTGATGGCTGGTCTCATTGTTTGTTATTATTATTGTACTACAGATCATTCCAAGGAACCTAATATTTGCCCATTCAGCAAAGGTTACAGCACTTACAAAAGCTACTGATGGCTGGGATAATCAGTCCAGTATTATCAGTGCTGCTGACAATGGGTAAGACAGAAAGATAATTTAAGAATCCTGCACTGAATTTTAGGGAACACTCAGAAGTACTATGCTAACGATAACTTTAATACTTTCTTCACGGGAGGAACAGTGACCTAAAGATTAGTGTTAAATTGGACTCTGGACCTTGCTTGTGTTTTTAGGCAAGGCAATAACTCTCACATGTACAGTTGCTACATGTACATGTATGTCTAGCCAGGAGTTTAAATGGGTGCTGGTCCTTGAAACTGGGGACAACCCAACAAAATGCTGGGAAGTATCCAGTGATGGCTCAACATCCAATCAGGAGGTTGTACTGCTACCTTATGTGACAGAAACTCTGATAAGCTTCAGTGGTGTTAGGCAACTTTGTCTCGTGCACACTTAACACCTGTAGCTGTTGTGAACCCAAATTAATGTTTTTCCAGTATAACTTACTCATCTGGTTGCTTTACAACAGGGTACCCATACAAACTACATGTATCACACCACCTCTATGGACACCCTGTTGCTATACCATGGTATATCTTTGTAAATTTTAACAGAAATATTGTGTGATTTTGCTTTAGAGAGCTTTGTTTATGGGATACAGATGATGGAATATGTATACAAACTAACGTTATCGCAGGAATGCATTTAGCACTGTTGGTGAGTCTGCCTATGCTTTGTGCCTGTAGTCTATTGATTGACGTTAGGTGCTATATAAACCCACATGTATTGCAGAGAAAAGAATGACCTCCTTAAAGAAAGGTCCTGGCAGTGCATTTTAAATGCATGCCTGGGAAACCAACATAGGTGATGCCCTTTTATCTAAACATTGACACATGTTTATTAGATAATCAGATTATTATTATTTTTTTTAATCATTATTTTACTGACAGAGGAAATATTTTAATTTATTACTTCTAAAGTAGTCAGAGATAATGTGTGATTAACAAATGCATACTAATACATGTACAGTGTGATGCACCATATAATACCAGTATCTAACCTCCATTTAGTGCAAAAATATTATATCTGATGGATTACAAAATTAATGATGAATTATAATTTCCTTTCAGTCCTTCCATGTAGCCATTGGCACTGGAAAAGAGTGGCGTGTTGTTTGCTATGGTAGCTATTCTGATATTTACGTCCTGGATGCGTTGTCTCTTGAGGTATGTTCAAGTTTCACACATGTAAAACTTTTATTTGTAAAACAATATCAGTAATATTATGATCAGTTTTTAAATCAATGCCTTTAATAACATATTACATGACAGTTCTGTAATTATTATTATTATTAATGTTGATAAAAGTCAGTTATGTAATAACATTATTATACATTAAAGTTTGTTTCTGAATATACAGGTGTTGTACACTCTACGTTCTCCATCAGCTACTAACTGGATCAGTGCAGCATGTGTTGTAAGGCCTGCAAGAAGACCAGGTATTACACCACCATATATATAGATGAGCAGTATAAGTATACTAATAGGTAATAAAATTGTTAATACATTATCAACTGATTTACAAAAGGTATCAAATGAAACTACATGACTGCATTAGTATTAACTGTAATTGTTATACAACTGCAATGACAACAAAAATCTAGACATTGTTTAATATACTTTTTCACAGAGGATGTTGTTGTAGCTGTGTCTCTGTCTGGTATGCTGAACATTTGGATGCTGAAACCAAATGTAGAGTCAAAGGTACAGTGTATTACAAGACATGTTTTGATTACCAGTCACAGCTTACTTAAAGCCTACAAAATGCAAGTTACACATCTTGGTGGGTTGTTCAAAACCCACTTTACCCTGGATTAGCAAGAATTCTGATTTCAGTTTTGTAACATTTGAGTGAGGTTTTCTATATTTGCCTGTCTTTCAGTTTTGGGTTTGAATAATATGAAATGTTAGTAATTAAGGACATTCGCTCTAATTGTTTCTGCGCATCCTTACTACGTTCACAAATTCACACGCCATATCATGCATAAGTAATAAAATGAACAATGATAGCGCAGATGGCAATTGCTATAGCTTTGCAAGGATTTAATGATCTTGGACGTTCGGTGACCCCTATTTTTCTTTTGATGGATTATTTTCTCTACTGATTTTCTACGTTTAGTGAAAAAATGAAAATCTATCGATTAGAAGTTTGAATTCTTGCAAAATGCACCATCGAATTCTTTTCTTTTAGTTCTTTTTTGACTATAAACCCTGTAGACCATGCTGAATTACGTGCGCCAATTTTTCAAAATCAGGGTAGTTTTCCACAAGCTTTATCTCTGAAACAAAGTCGGTGACCCCCATTTTTTTTTTTTTGCATTGTTGACACAAGTAACTCATTATCTGACTGCAGTAAAAATTTAAAAGAAATCTATCAACTGGAGAATTTCCACACAGATGTCCTTAAGTAGTAAAAAACATTTTTATACAAGAAAAAGGAATAGTTCAGTCACATTAATATTGTAACCTTTAATCCTGGCTAAGTTTTAACTGGCTTTCGAACAACCGGGCCCTAAACTATTTTACAACATGGATTTAGCTTGTATCTCTAATTTATTGGCTACAGATACATTTACAAGTTAGTACCAAGTGAATATACATGTACTATTGACAGTTCATTATGTAATAGAGGTTTCTAATTAAGTGCTACTTTTAAGGTGGTCAGCATACAGCTGTTTTTGTACATGTAAGTGCACGTGTACATATGTAAGTCCATGCACTGTACTGAAATAAGCAATTTGAGACCCATAGATAACAAAGGGCACATGTATGTACAATAGCCTGAAGCTTTAGTAACACATTCAGTTTTAAAATCAGTATCACCCATTTTACACTCCACAGTACAGTGAGCCCACTTACGAAAAAAAGTTGGAGCAAGTCACAGACAGCAAAGCTACTGGGATTTGTTGTAATCCCTTTACACAAAGAACCATTCTTGTTATATGTGCAAAAGAGTGGCTGGTATGTGCTGGCATATTACCTTTAATTCATGTACCAGGACTTTTTGAGGCACTTTTAATTTTAATTTGTGAACCGCAATTGCACTGTACAATGAAAAGGTCTCAATATAATATTGTTGCAGAGTATTTATATATCAACGTTAGCTTTCTTAAGTTTTTCTTTAAAATTAATGTTACTCATTAGTAAAGACAGTGTAAAGCAATATATACTGGTATGTGATGTATCCATTCCTCTTGCATGGAAAATTATTTTTGTCACTGGGTAACAAGTTTACTACCGGTAGGTAACTTTGCATGTCGAGTGACATTCAAAAACATGGAAGGTGTTTCTCCCCTCTGCTTTGTGATATCATACAAAATGAAACAGTGAGTTTGCTTGCATTATGAAAGTTAAGAAGAAGCCAATTATTACATTAGATGAGAGCAACACCAAAACCTAAAAAACAGCGTACAATTGTTATACTTGAACAACATTTTCAAATAATTTATGGCAGATGTATGATGCTGGAGACTTTAAATTCCTGACCACCGTGTCCAGTCCTCCAGGTCAGAGCTGGATGGGAGGAAACTTTGTTGCAGCAGACTGCATTCTAGTTTGGAGCAGGGTAAGTTATCAGTGTTAAATAAGAAGGCAGTAACATGTAGCCTATGCCGTATTGTATTATGTAGCATGCAATCAGGTGTCTTTTCCTCTCTTTACTTGGATATTGTAAATTTGAAGTACATATGCACCATCCTGTAGAAACCCTAAAAATTTTAAGAAGCATTACATGTAATTGTCGTTTACAAAGATATTTTTCATTGGAAAATTCACGTTTTGTTTTGTTTGCACAGGATGGAAAGAGTTATTTGTACAAACTTCCTCCATCGTAAGTGAAATTTGACCTTTCAATTGCATGTATAGCGTAAAACAGTCCCGGACTACAGGTTCATACTATAAATTTACATGTGTGGATTACAGCACTAGTTTTATTTCTTACTGGTACTGCTTCCTTTTTCAGGTGCTGCCCTGGTCTTCAGGACCGAAAGCAAGGTCAGAAAAATGCAGTGATTGAATTTTATGGTGATAATTTATCAAATGATGTAAGCTACTGTTAGTAGTTACTCGGTACTATTTGATTCTTACCTATTTTAAGTTGCACTTCCCACCTGTTGTTGTCCCATAAACAGACCCTTTTCATAAATGGCTGCCAAATTATTTTGTATGCATTTTAATTCCTAAGCCTCACTTACCTTGTTTGAGAGTAAAACTTCTTTTGAATTATCAACTTAAAAATAAGGTCAGTAAGGCTAATTTTTATACAAGTTTACTGAAGAATATTGACAGTCATTTATGAAAAGGGTCTTTGTAAAATGGCTTACATGTGTATGTATACATGTAACTAATTTAAAAATATATTCTTGTTTTCTGTATGTGTTGTAGAACCTCACCTTGAGGCTAGATTTAGGAGCATGCTCTGTTGCAAAATTTCATGGATGTGCACTGTAATTAAATATTACCTGGGTTCCACTGTATGCAATATAAATTAAGGTGTTCTCCATTGTTCTTCTAACAATTAAGGGAGAATTGTCTTTGTAACAACCTTTAGCAGGCAATCCAATCAAAGAACCAAGAATCATTCAGGTGTTTGAGAAGACAGCTGAGCAGGTATGAACAATCAATAGAATGGTTCTTAAAAAATGAAACGGGAAATGACAAAAATCTGTTCTGCTCCATCAAAACCCCAGGCTATGCTTTTTTGCTTTACTAAGCCATGTGTAAGTTGGAGTTAATGTATCACTATCTTCACATCAAGTTTCATTTTCTCTCATATCACAACTTTGTTTTCAAAAGTGTACAATAAAATTTACAATTTACTAACTTCTGTTGCAGAGTGCTGTACCAGATTTTGATCCAGCCATGTTTTTCTCTTATGGACGGAGGGGACCTTTTTACAAACTCTTGTTAAGAGGGGGATCAAATGGAAGGTAGCTGAATTGTTTCTGGTGTAGGGGGTGTTAGGCACAGTTTGATAGATTGAAGTGTCTGAAGAGTGTTCAGTGATTGATCAACAATATGTACCTTATTACATGAAATTTTGGCGACACGTTAATTTAACGATTTTGAGAAACCTTTATTTAGCGGCACTTTCAATTTAGCGATTTTTCGTAAATTTTGGAACATAAGTCACTTAATGTTTGCGATTTCACGAACTGAAACTTTGACGAATTAAGATATTGAAAACATTTATGTGATAAAATCATAAACGTCAATAGCTTCCTTTAAATCACAATCATACAACGTTTTGAAACTTAATTTTGAACGAAACAAACGAAACTGCAACTGTTATGTCCTATCTAAATGTTTTTCTCACTCATATTTGTATTGTCACACAAAGTCAATGCACCTTTTGCGAGCACCTAACCATTAACGTTCTAACGACACCGATCAGGCGCGGTGGATTACTTCAAATGGATCAACAGGTGGCAGTGGTTTGTCTCTACTGGCAATTTCCTTGGCTCACACCCTTGAGAATACATTTCCTTCCTTCAGCGCCGGTCAGAGAGTCGAATAATGCGACAAGCCAGCCTGCGTGAATTTGCTTCATTACTGACATGCTGAGATCAACCTCTTTTTCTTCAAAGCTTGTCCCGCTCTCTAACTACCTTTTGAACCTCTCCCGTGTACCAGGTGGTAAATTTCTCTTTGGAGAATTTCTTAGCCTGGCCATTAACTTATTGTGTGAAACTGATCACATGGCGGGATTTCATTTTGTACTCACTTATTTAGCCACGATTTAAATTTAGCGACACTTAATTTTGATGCATTTTAATTTAGCGATTCTTAGAAAAATCACTAAATTCGCTTAATTAAAGTATCGCCAAAATTTCATGTAATAAGGTACACAGAAAGCTACGTGTCATTTTGTCTCCATCAGGCAGCATCATGCTACAGCTTTATAAAAAGCGTCTCAACCAAAAACCACAGGTTCAGTCCAGATGTTCCAGAAGAGGGGCTTTGGAAATTGACACCCACAAGTAAAAGAGTTTCGGCTCTGTGTATAGAGCCTGGTAGATTTATTGTTGGAGAAATTCTGTCACTGAGCGATGATGAAGTTCCCTAACTTAGGAGATACGTCACGGTTTGCGCAGCTTGAAAATTTTCGCTTAAAAGTTTCAAGTTTTTGGTTTGTAATCCGTGTCATTCTTCTCCATGCTTAACCATCCTTGTTCCTTTATGGTTTATTATTATCTCTTTGGTGTTTTTCTATCTTTAGTCAGTAAACTGCTATTTTCAGGCTTCCTTCAATTTAAATGTAATTTTGTACGTGGCAAAAATAGCTCAAAATACTGTGACTGACCGCCCACAGCCTTATCAACTTTTTCCTTTGCATTCAAGACGTGAACAGGAATATATGGAAATAATTGTTGCACTGTATTTTTTCATTATTTGTAGTGTCAGTTTGTGGAAACTGAATGATGACCTTTTCACGTCAACAAAACCCTACGACGCAAATGCGCCCGGTAATGTTTTTACGTGTTCTTCTGCTTTCGTGCGTGCGTGTCAAAAGAAAACACATAAGAGCACCTTTCTTTTTATTGTTGCTGTTGTTGGTGTTTTTTCTGTATTTTTTATTGTTATAGTAGCCTTTTTCATATTTTCTGAATTTTTTTGAGTTAAATTTCGTTTGTTTTCGTGGTGTGTGGATTGCACATACCCTACCAAAATGGTGGTTTTGCTGCCTTGGATCATTTCACTGTTCCTTTTTCATTTGCCGATACGTTGTCCAGTACCTATGAAATACTGATTTATTTATCTACTCCCCACTCCGATTAGCTACTGCTATTTGTGGGTAACGAACGGACGAACGAACGAACCAACAAATGTACGCACGCAGGCACGAACGAGCTAACCTAACGGACAGACGAAAAACTGGGGATCGTGGTTGATAAAAACTGAATTATAGCTGACGATTACCTAATACTTCACTTTTCCTTGCACCTTTTGTATATGTAGGTGTTGGTCCTGTGGTGGCGTGTAACTATGCAGACTGTTGGGAGACAACCCTGAAGCCCTGCGGACTGATTGATTCTTTGGTAAGTTTCGCTACACGGACGGATTTTCGTGTGGGAAATGGAAAGTGCATCATTCTAAGCTTAAAATTTTTTGGCCCACTTTGGTTCTGGCCTAATTCTCAGACGCTCTGAGGCTACTCGTTCTCCTCCTGAGAATCAGGCTAACTTTGGTCGTAACTTTAATAAAGTACATGGAAGAAATAGAACTTACAGTTGTTACATACAGCTTTGTACGGGCCTCCACAGACGAGACATTTAATTGTCGACAACAATTTTTATCGCAACTAAATTAATGTTAGGCCATCGAAGCCGCGTTTTTGAGTTCTGAATCGTTTTAACATGTCATAAGTTCGTCCGTATATCCTTTAATCGCCCTGCTCGCAGAGGTTTGCCTTCGTCCACTGAAGAGGCTGAAGGGAGAGAACTTGTTGCTTTACGACTTGGTATCATCGCGTGGCGTCTCCAATGTGATTGAAACGACAAAAGGAAAATACTATTTTGTTCTCGGGTGCTAAGAACGAGAGAGCGACCGCGAAACTGGGGAAAAATATACTAGCCCCAGCTTCTTGCGTTTTGGCTCGTTCATATGAGAGCTACTGATCAAGTAAAGCCGCACTTACGTTTGATTCCGCGCGTGTATTCGTCAAATTGTACGTGACTTAAAGTAAAGGAAGTTTAGTTGTAAGTTGCGGTGTATTTAAGGTCTGAAATATTTTGACTGTTTATTCTGTAGGATGATTGTGGAGAAGCCATTCCTGTTAGCGCGTCACTGTATTTACCAGCTCAAGACTGTATCGTGTGTGGCCGTGAGGATGGTTCAGTCGTTATCATATCAGCGGCTAAGGCGGCTATTGCTCAGTTGCTTCAGCTGCCAGGCTCAGGTAGTGTATTCAAACGTCCAGCGTACAGTTTCCTTAGTCTAATCCGCACACTTCTTCGAGTTTGTATTGTAGCGTCGTGTTAGTGTTACTGCGATAAGTGCTGTCTCTCTCGAGCTGATTTGAGAGAAGTAGCTTTACTGATCGAACATTTTTCTCGCGTCGAGCTCGGCTTTCGCGGCTCGACTTGTGGACAAGTCTAAACCCTTTTATTTCGCCAATTTTGCAATTCAATGGTTATATGAAACGATGTTTGAATTGGGTTTGAGCTGTTTTCTTATTTCTGATAGCCTGGTTAGTTAAAAGGTGGCAAATTATTCTTAAGTTTCTGCATATCGAACTGGCTCATAAATACAAAGTTTTACCGTCTTAAAAAAAGACTGCAATGCAATGTACATCAGTCAACCATCGTTAATTTAGTGTTAACGCGTTGTGCTGGCTGTACTGTGAGATCATAATAGTGAGTTTAGTCAGAGAAATTTGTTTCAGAATATCAAGAAAACCAGTGGTTTATAAATAAATTAAGCTTGAACGAGCAGATCGAAGGGCAGTGCCACTGTACTGTATTTTGATGTCCCGAATGCAAAAATGTTTTATTCATGTTTGTCATGGTCTCACCTATCTGCCTCGGGTGCTCATTTTTCAGGATGGCCTACACACCGGGTACTCTTAGGACACAAGGGCCGAGTGACATGTCTGCTGTACCCTCATGATGAGTATCCTCGCTATGACAAAGAATTTTTGGTATCAGGTGGAGCGGATTTCTCGGTTAAACTGTGGGACATCTTCACCGGAGACTTACTGTACACGTTTTCTTCTCACACGGGAGAACTGCTTCGACTAATATGTACACCACCTGACTGCAGTGTAAGAGTCTTGTTTAGATCAATTGCCTGTTTTAAACTGAGCTGTTTAGTTGAACTGTTCTATTTGTTCTTTTTAGAATCGCGTTCAATCCTGCATCTGTTCTGTAGCCCAGGACCACTCGGTTGCATTGCTGGGATTGCGCGAGCGGAAGTGCATTATGTTGGCTTCTCTTCACGCGTTTCCGGTGGAGACGATAAAATGGAGAGCTTTAGACGACTTTTTGGTGGTAGGCTGTACTGACGGTTCTGTGTACGTCTGGCAAATGGAAACAGGTGTGATTTGTAAGAAACTAAGTAATATTTGATCTAAAAATTTCTGATCGGTTGATACTTGAGCTTTGGCACGGTGGTCAACGCATCTGTAAATTCCTTACTATTTTGTGCAAAAGTCTATTTTTCACTAGCTATCCGGCCTGTATGAGAAACATGTTCTCGTTCCGTTCTACTTCATACAACCTGCGTGGAAACTATATACTGGAAATGCCCAAACCTAAAACTAAAACTTTTGGTCTCCACTCCTTTACTTATCTAGCAACCAAAGAATGGAATTTTCTACCCAATTTTATAAGGTTATGTAATTTCTCAGACTTCAAAAAGCACATCAGTAAAGCCAATTCATGAAACATGTAAATGACAATTTTATAATTAGTTAATATAAGTCAATTGTAAATATGTAAATAGCAATTTCTATTTTAATTTTTCGTTATCAAATATTTTGTTCTCGGAGATATTAGCTTGTCAAGCTACTCTGAAATTCGAGCTTAAATAAAGTTTATGCATGTATGTATGTATGTGCTTTTCAAAATTGAAAACTAAAAAATTGGATTGAATAGTTCTTTCTCTGAGATGGCCCGTGAGATTTGTCTTTGACATGATCACTCCTAGCTTAAACATGACAGAAGCTTTACCAAGTCCCTTTAGCGTGACATGGCACTAACGTGACCTAACTCTTTATCATGACGTGACACCAGCATGGCCTTGCCGCTTAACATGACATGACACACTAGTGTGACCTATCTCTTATAAAATGACGTGGCACCAGTGATAACGTAGTCTATTCTGTTCAGCAGTAACACCGAATTTGCGGTCCTTACCGCGAACGAAGAACTGATCACTCTGAACCAGGCTCTTGCACTAAGAAATTCTTTAAACTTATGCCATGAGAAACGTGTGGAGACAAGTAAGGAGAGTTTGTATGTTACTCTACAGGTCACCTAGATCGGTGTGTTAGCGGACAAGTTGCTCTTAATATCTTAGCCGCGTGTGATGAGGAGAAGAAATCTGCTTCAGCTGGTGTTCCCTCCAAAGCCAAGACCATTCTGGGACGAAAGATCAGCCACCTTACTTCCAATCTGCCAACTAGCGCTGCATCGGCGGCGGTCAAGAAGCTTAAGCGAAGCTCCCTTCAACAAGCCTCGGCGAGTCCTTCGTCCTCGCCAAGGTTATCTGGTAAGTGGAACAGAACGGTCATTAAGCTCAGTTTTAGCGTAGATCAAGCGGTAACTACCGACTGGCGTGATTGTGAAAAGCTGAAAATCATAGGCTACAGTTAGATCATTTAAAGAAGAATGGAAATGGCTTTGTATAGCTGGATCTCCATAAGTTCCAGGAACTTATTTGGAAGTGATAATAACTAAGACTAACATGGCATGAAAAGGTTCGCATGGTTCGGATTCGTTGCGAACTATGCAAAAAGAGAATTGTCACTTATTACTGTGTTGCTCAAATGCCCATTCTTATAAAATGTACCAGAAACATTCTACTACGTCTTGCACGTACCACGTGGTACACAGACGTGAGTGGCATTTGCTTTTCACGTGCCGTAAACCATTGAAAATTATCAGTAGCTTTATCTGGCCATTTGAAACTTTGCAATCATGTTCAACGTCAAGGTTTATGATGCACGGCCCTGTTAATAACCAAGAAAACTCAGCGCTTACTGCATGCCGTGGCTATTTTGCCTGTAGGTGATGGCTATGGTGAGGTGTTGTCCGGTGGCCCATTGAAGGTGATGTCCACAAAGTGTGGTGTGAGAGATCCAGAAATACAAGTGCTTATGTTTGATATCGAGGCGTTGATATGCAATTTACTAACTGAAGAAAATCCTCTGCTTGGTGGTAATTATCAATGTCGTTATTAGTTCTCCAAATGATTTGTCTATGCACTGCAAGGCAATTATGTATCATTTAGGAAATTAGTGACCGAATCTGTTGACGTCCTTCTTGTTTATTCTTCTTGTTTACTCCTGAATTATAACCCATTGCAAAAACGTGAGAGGACTGGGACGAGTTTCTTATATTGATTAGATTGAAAATCTAAGCATTTCAACTGAAATGTTACTGAATGAAAAGCTACCCAGTCAAGTTTGAGAGTTTTCAGCGGAAAATTTTGCAAAAGTTGCAAAATTCCATTCAAACCCTTACAATTTTGTGGCCTGTCTACCCAATCCATACAAACTCTCTATTTTAGGTGGTATTTGAAGAGCTATCATTTTGCCATTTTCCTCCGCTAAATACTTCTATTCTTGCTTAAGACTCTCAAATTTAGTTGATCTTTCATGTGAATATCTTAGTTTTTCAAACAAACGAAAAACAACCATACTCTTTCCCAGTCCTCTCACGTTTTTGAAATGGGCTATGCTGGATATTAGTTTACAAACCGTGAAATTATCGTCGACAAGCTCTTTAGAAAGACTTGCCATAAATCTTGAAATGACATTTTAAAAAAAATGAGCACAAATAAACACCGCTGACCCGAAGGGCTGCTAGCCTCGAAACGCATACTGTACTTCTACTTAAGATGGAATGATAACTTCTCTCCCAGCTGAAAAGTTGCTTCTTTTTCACAGCTAAAACTCCAGGCAAAGCCGATATTTCCAAGACAGCTGTTGGAGGAAAAAGGAGGAAACGCGAGTCTGCAACGACTCAACCAACCAAAAGCGATACAGCTTCGAAATCATCCACGGAGCACAAGAACAAAAAGTCTCCTTTTGTGAATGAAACTCATTATGTCGCACAACTTATGATCTCGTGCCTTCACTCCTGGGATCTGGACCCTAACATGGACGAGGTCTGCGTCGAAAGACTGGGCCTTCTTAAACCGGTCAAACCAGTTTCGTTTGGATTACTTACTCGTGGGAACAGGCTTTCGTTGATGTTACCAGGGTGGTATGGGGAAACAGGTGGAGAGAGGGATGGCGACGCTGAATCCACTTTGAGAAGACTCTCTGGCGATAAAGCCCTGTTTACAGAAGTTAACGAAGCACAGAAAGGAACTTTGGTCGAAGTGAAATCGCTGGCTTCCTCGGAGCATAACGTTGTTTCAGCTTTAAGGACTTGTTTTCAGTCGCGTTGGCAGTTGTCCTCAGCGTTGACAACTTTGCATCTTGTCGGGCTTGTGTCTGTAGCTAACACACTTATGAGCATGAATCAGATCAGTTTTGTTCCTCAAGAAAAGCGTCTTGCTCTTTTAACGAACACAGCTCGCGATATCCCGTCCAGCTCATCGAGTTACGACGAAAACGAACACCCCCCTGGCTTGAGTGAGGTGGACGTGCAACTTGCCATGAATCACCGCGCGCACATAAAAGCTGGATGGAGTCAGCTGGCTGCATTGCACTGCTGTCTATTAGCTGATATTCTAAGGGTCTCCCCTTACAAACCACCGTTGTTGCATATTCTGGCAAGAAGATGGCAAGATCGATGCCTTGAAGTATGTCATAGTTTAAGGCTTTTGGGGGTTATTTCATATCCACATTTTGCCGAGTGATGTCACCGATCACGCTCTTTGCACGTGTCTTACATGTGGTTAGTTGTCAGTGAACTGCTGTCGTTACGGTAAGAAGCAGCAGTGCAAAAGTCAAAGTCATTGATTGAAGTGAAGTTTTCAGATCGCGTCGTTTTACAAACCAGTGTAATTAGGTGTAACATTTTCGTTCTTGTGTCCCACAGAATAGTATTCTTTTGCTTAATTAAGTTACTTTTAATCACTGTTTTATTTATTTTCTATTTTGTGGCAAATAAATGGTTGGTTGGTTATTGTCTTTGTTATATTCCTAGGTTCGTGAAGCGGCCCAGGCTATTCTATTAGCCGAACTGCGCAGGATCGGGTTCGAGGGTCGTAAACAGGTAGTGGATACATGGGCCCCTCAGCTGCCTACGACCCTCGGGCAGGGAGGAACTGAGGACAAATCTGACAAGCTTGATGTTGCAAATGCTCCCATCCCTCCCAGTCCGCATTCGGGATTTGGTGAGTAATGTTAGCTGATTCATGAATTAGGGCTTCATGCATTTTGTGTAGCTCTCCTTAAGATGATTCGATTGCCTATAAATGAATAAAGGATCAGGTTTCATCTTAACATGAAACATTGCGGGTCGTTTTTTGTTAGGATAAAAATGAAATATCTTTCTTCAGAGCGTAGCGGCGAGGTCCAAAACGTTGATGACGAAGTTTTGTTTCCACCCGATGACGTCAGCACTGTTTTGACCAGCGTCAAGAAGCTTCTTNTTAGCCGAACTGCGCAGGATCGGGTTCGAGGGTCGTAAACAGGTAGTAGATACATGGGCCCCTCAGCTGCCTACGACCCTCGGGCAGGGAGGGACTGAGGACAAATCTGACAAACCTGATGTTGCAAATGCTCCCACCCCTCCCAGTCCGCACTTGGGATTTGGTGAGTAATGTTAGCTGATTCATGAATTAGGGCTTCGTGCGACTCCTGATTGCTTATAAATGAATAAAGGATCAAGTTTCATCTTAACATGAAACAGTGCGGGTCGTGTTTTGTAAGGATAAAAATGAAATATCTTTCTTCAGAGCGTAGCGGCGAGGTCCAAAGCGTTGATGACGAAGTTTTGTTTCCACCCGATGACGTCAGCACTGTTTTGACCAGCGTCAAGAAGCTTCTTCAGTATGACATGCGCCGTCGCCAAGCAACCGCTATCGTGTTGATGGGTGTGATAGGAGCGGAGTTCCAGCGGGAGATTGAAGTGTTCTCGAGTCGTGCTCGCGATGGTGAGAAAAAACAGAGTACCAGTTCACGGCGCTTGGATAAGCTGAGCGAGACTCCAGGTAAAGAGGGCAAAAGCGCACTTAATAAAGGTTACAATGGACGTAAGTGCTGATTTGAAACTCTGCTAACATAATGTAATTGTCGTTAACATAAAATTAAAATGCCTCTACTGAGTAATTGTCCATGCTAGCTAATCGTGACTAATGCATGGATGCACATGTTAAAGCCCGCTCTATAGATTAATAAGTAAATAGCGGCTTATTTTATGCTGTGTAATAAAACTAGTAAACCTGCCTATTCCAAGTTGAACTTGAACGTGTACCTTTGTTGTGACAAGAACATCACAAGACAATTACCACTAACAAGATACGAATAAACGACTTCCACTTCATCTTTACGCAAACCTACAGAGTAATAACTGTTTGTGCAAGTCAGTGTGACGTTCAAATACCGAGAACATAACTTGTGCTGTTTGGTTTTGAGTTTAGTCAAAACTAGAGCGGATTACAGATACCTCTCTTATGGGCGGTTGTTTTTCACCTTTGAAACAAACTTCAGAGCAATAGCCCGGTCACGTGTAACCGTTGTTAAGTGCGGGAAAAGTCACGTGATATAAATCACAAGTGGTTGCAGTTCAGTGCATGATTGGTTGAATAATAGCACCTATGTTCTGATTGGCTCAAGTTTTATAGACTCTTTCCAAGCTAAGCAAACACAAAACTTAAGAGACTGGATACTTCCTTACTAATGACGACAATGGAAAAGAAAAAAAAGTTCAAATTTCTTAGCTGAGTCTGCTATTATTTTGTTTCTTCAATCATTGGATAACTGTAGTGTGTAAAGGATAATTAACTTTCCTTATATAAATTTTGTCAATATGGAGGGGATGAGAAAATTGAAGATGATTTCTCTGCCACTTTTTCCATGCCGTCATGTTTTCCAGGTGGTGAAGTAATAATGGATTACGCCACAGTGCGGCTTACGGGCAAGGCTTTAATGTATCTCCTGCTTAAACCTCCCTCCTCGCAACTTACTGCTCACACGTCTGTTAGGAGGGCAGCCATTGATTTGATTGGTCGCGGATTCACGCTTTGGGAGCCATATATGGACGTGTCAGCGGTCCTAATAGCCTTATTAGAGCTTTCCGCTGACAGCAAGAACCGTGATCTCACGTTCAGGAAAGGTTTACCATTATCACCGTCAGCGGATACTCATCGATCTGCAAGACATGCGCTCTCGCTTATTGCTACAGCACGACCCACAGTCTTCATTGCAACTATCGCCAAGGAGGTAAGTCGTATAAAAGTTGTTTTTACATTATCGCCGGAAAAATACGTGATAATGTAATTTGTCATATCAGTGAGATTTGTGATGTTTCATGCAAGTGGATCTTGAGAGACGTGACAAAGATTTTTCGACAAGCCTCTGTGTTTTTACTTAGCTATTCGTAAACTTGAAGTTGATCCGCCATAGTTGCTGACGTTTTGAGCCTTTGCTCTGATGAAGGGGTAACGCTCAAAACGTTAGCAAACACTCGCTATGCCGGATCAACTTCAAGTTTACGAATAGCTAAGTAAGAACACACGGTTTGGCGTACGCACTTACAAACAAAAGCTGTCAAGGAAATTTTTTTAACTTGTCACCTATACATGTAAACTCTTGAACATGTGGATAGAATTTGTCAGTAGAATTGCTAATATTTAACTTTACTGAGACAGCGTGGCCGAGTCGTTAGGGCGCCGGACTTGAAATCCGGAGGTCGCGTGTTCACGTCCCTTTCTGACCACCGGCTGGTGGTGATCTCAGTAGTTCCGAGTTCAACTCCTCGGCCACGCTTGGAATTAGCAAACTAGCTCTTCTCCTGCCAGTTGGGATCCTTAACCTCGTTATGTTCAATTACATTGTATTTGTTTCATCATTTGTTTCCGTTGGCCCTGAAAAACCCCACTGGGGGAGTGATTAATTAAGTTTTTATATTTTATATATTTTTACATTTTATGGAGACAAACTTGAGGGTACTCTCAAAGTTAAGCCGAGTCAGTGACTGTTTTCAGTTCTAACTCACTCTTGCAGACCAGTCAATCGAGCTTCATCCTTACTTTTACTTGTCGTAATTTCACACACCAGGTAGCCCGCAGTGTTGCAGCAGCGTCCTCCATTTCCTTTAATCAGCCTTCCCCAGCAGCCATTGCGGTGTACAGTCACGTTCGCCACCAGCCCTCGCAGAATGCAGAAGCTCAGAGCACATCAATTTTGAACCGTGCCAAACATGAGATACTGCGAATTATTGACCTCATGGTTGAAAAGACACAGCAAGAAGTTGTCGACCTTCTGACTGATGTATGTACTACCATGCTCGATACTTGGAAATATATTTCCTAGTGCGCTTTTTACAAATTTAGTCTTACTTATGATTGCTATCTTGACAGTGTTCGGGAATAACTGTTGCCAACGATAAGTTAACATACTTTCAAGCTTTAAGCCATTCCTTATCACTGATACTTGAGCTTCAGAAGCATTTTGTGTCAACGGTTTCCTTGAAATTTTATTATCACATTACATGTATATCCTTCGAATCTTGATTGGATGTATAATTAATAATTTTATGGTGTAACCTCTAACCAAGCTATTTGTCACTAGGTTGTTGATATCGTAGTTTACTGCTTGGATCAGAGGCAGCTTAAAGAGAAAGGAATGACCGAATTATTTCCTGGACTTTGTAGGTAAGGATTTCATTTTTTTTTTTTTTTTTTTTTTTGCGTTTCGTTTTTGATAACGACATACTAAGCAATGTATTAAGGTTTATTATTGTCATCAAGTGACTTCTCCTGATTGATTTCACCACATTTCGTATGAGAAGGGTTTGGAGAATTCGATTACAAATCACGACAGTCTCGTGTGACAATTTTATGTGGACGCTTTGGGAATATCGTCCTTTTTGCACATCTATACACATCTATAATTCGCTGTTAATAACACGTAGCTTTTCCGGCTTTAGTCCTCCGATTCTTTCGCCCTTAGCTCCCTGCCACAACCCCTCGCGGGGCTTTTTTTTGCGGAGGGCGGGGGCGGGGGGCCGTCTTCCCAATTGACTGATACAATTCAGCGTTCACTCGCTTCGCGTTGTCGGGTATTTTGCAGTTGTAACACAGTGAAGGCAATCATGCTAGCAACAAGTGTCCTAATGTTCCAACAGGTTCAACATGGTAAGCTACTCTCCCCAGTCCCGTCGCCTTGCAGTTGGCGCCAAGAATGGACAACTTGCATTGTATGATCTGCGATCCTCGCGCTGCCAGGTGGGAACAGCTGGTGAATATAGAAGTAATAGTTAGCCAAACCCTTGTTGAAGATTAATTTGTGTTTTGAGCTGTGTGATTACTTAGAATTGCCTGCAACATTTCTCAGGCTGCAACCAGAGTGAGGATGACACTTTGCAAAATGAAAGTCTGTGATCCTCATTTTTCGTCGTGGGTGACTTTACGGCAGTCTGCGTTTTTTCCCGCGCTTTTTGCGGCACGTCATTGCTCCGAGTTCTGTATGTTAGGTCTGTGTTTTTTCCGCGATAGTTTGTCGCATATCATTGGCTTCCTCAACCCAGACTTGACTTTCGGACTGACCACAGTGATATGTCGTAGAATGCAGGGTTCCACAGAACGTTTCCTTGAAGTTCGTATGATACGAGAAGGGGAGTTAGCAAGATTGTAATCGTCATTCAGTTATCTCTACTAATCCCTACCAGCATGTCCTCTGGGGAAATATCCACCCGACAATTCTTTCAGTGTGTATAACTATTGAATTCTCATTCTTTGCAGATGGTGTCCGCTCACTCGTCTCAAGTAACGGCCCTGTCTTTCTCGCCTGATGATCGTGTTCTTGCTTCGTACAGCTTCGGAGATTCGAAGATCTGCTTTTGGCAGGTAATTAATAAGCACTGAATACAGTTAGTAATTTGCTTAGAAACTGCTTCAAACAAACGTGCCGGTAATTTCAAGATGGCATTCGAGCACTTCGTCTTAATTGGCATAGTTTCAATGATTTAACAATTGAGAAGCTAGGTTAGTTTCTTAAAGTATCCTCAATAAACCTTAAAATTATTATCTGCGAACAGACACCCGGCGTTCCCGAACGCCCTGATCCCGCCCCGATCGCTTCGCTCTCCGAATTCTTTAGTTTCGTGCTCGTCCGCTCGCTTCGTTCGCTGAAATTTTTTCCGTCTATGCCGGGAGCCTTTGCGCAGGCTATGAAATTATCAACATGGTGTATCCGCACTAACACAAGCCTGGCTTTGTCAATATTCTCCTTTGTCTGTTTCTTCTGTTTACAGACTGGTTCATCGTTGTTTGGCATGCTGGGATCTTCTCTGCGGTGTGTTCGGTCTTACTCCACTGTCTCTCCCTCGCCTAAAATGTCTCCTGCCCTGCTAAAACTAATACGGCTGGTGTGGATTAACCACAAGAACGTTATTTTACTCATGGCGGATGGAACGGAATACAAGTATTCTGTATAGAGACAAGAAAAGATCCATGGACAATGCACATATGTGGTCAAAATAATATTTGGATGTAAAGTAAAAGAGTATTGTTAATATTAGAGATATACAACAGGGTAATTAAGCTTGTACAAACATGGATGGATATATCAGCGTTTTTCATGCTTTGCACAACAATCTGAGAGCCAGGAGTACTTAACAAACTGTATCTAGCGAAAAGTAAGCTTTTAAAATGTTGTCATTCTTGAGGCCAATAAAAATTTCACCATTGCAAACAGATTAAAGCAGTCGAATCCAACAATATGCAAAATTAGAAAATGTCGACGTGAACTCCTTTTTTTCTCTCGTCAATCGTGTCTGCATTTCACATTCGATTATTTCTGACATAACTCCCCCTCCCCCTCCCCCTCGCCCGTCTCACCCCTCAGCGACCTTTTCGAAGCTATGGTGAAGGGAAGTTCGCTTTTAGGCTTTTGCGTAGACCGCAGACGCTTGCATCTTTCAGACTTTCAATTCGCGAAAGTTGTTTTTGGTATTTCCTTCTTCCAAAGATGAACACATTACGGCCCTTTTGCTGATTTTGGGGTCGTCAATGGCTTGGTCCGTTCCATCCTAACGCGGGCTTCTTTCCCGAGCAGCGGCTGGTCATCGAACCTAGTTTCAAGCCGGCACGTCTACCAATCGCCAATCGTGCGGCGTAATGAATCAATGCAGTGCTTGTGATGGATGATTTAAAGTCAATCAAGGACACTAGACTCATTACTCTAGTGGGGGTAATGTGCTGGAATGTAAGTCGTTTAGCCCTCAAGTCAATTAGCCCCTAACCGGTTAGCCCCCAACCAGAAGTTGATTAGCCCCCATTTACGCTTGAAGAACGAGAAATTGACAGTGTTTTTCGACTTCTGGTTAGGGGCTAATCGATTTGGTGGCTGAACGACCGGACACCATCAGCTCTAGTCTCAGACGTGCAAAGAAAGCGACTGTTTTCCCGGGTCATGACCGATCTTTCTCGTTTGCGTCAGTTGCTGAAGAAAATAATTTGCACATTGCACCCTGCCCGAGAAATGGGATACACGTGATCATGTTGACCACGCCTAGTCAGTTTGTTCTATTATAGGCTTGCAAGGCGTACATGTGTGTGGGGTCACATGCAAACACATCTGAATTATACTCCTTTAATTAAAACGTTTTCATTCAACAATTTTCTGCATGCCAACCCCAATCTTTTTCCACACATAAGGTAAATAGAAACCGGATTTCTAAAGCAGCTGAAGATAAAAAAAAATTAAATTAAACAAAAAATTAAAAATCAGCTGGAAATGGAGCTCCTGATGTCAAGTCTCTTCCATTATCAAAAACAACACACAAACAGTTGTAGGCATGTACATGTAAATAATCATCTGCAAATTGAATTTACTAAATACTATTTAGTACAAAACCTATTTAATAACACTTGTTTACTTCATGTCTTCCTTTTGAATCATGTTTTAGATTTTTGATAAATTGATTGATTGATTAATATGTAAATACTCTAACCATGTCTATTATCACTGTTTATTCTGGTACAAGATGAATGAATCAATCCTGTTACCATCACCATTATTGAAAGCTAACCATAAACAAGTGTAACAAAGCACTTTAAGTCAGACTGCTCCCTAGGCTAACCAAACTGCTGTCCTAAGTGCTTAATTTAGGCTAGCCAAAGTGCTATTTAGGCTGACCAGAATGCTGTTTTAAGGCCAATGAAAGTACTTTAAGCTAGCCAATTTAAAGCTCTTTTAAGAATAACCAATTGCAAATGCTGTTTTATGGCCATCCAAATGAGACAATCTGAGTGACATTTAGGCTATCCTGAATGCAATTTGACCAGTGACTTATTGACTCAAGATTCATCATGACTCATAAACTCATTTGATTCTTTGGATCTTCATTCCCAGTGCAGATACAGTACTTGCTAGCAATATATCACTTCAGCTATTCAAAATACAACACAAAATTAATTTTTAAAACATTGCTGTAAACGCTTCAATAAAATTCAATGCTTTTACAGACTCTTTACATTTGGAGGAAAACCCCCTGAGCAGGTTTTAATTATGTTTTAATAAGCATCAACTTGATGGATTTGTTTTAATTTACAAATAATTACTCACATCAAAAATTATATTTAAAAAAAAACAGATTATTTTATTCTCTTTTGAAAATATATTTTTAAATAGTACAAAATTGTTTTCTCTCCCAGTCCATAAAGATCTCAGTTCCTTGCAAAAATGTTTCTTAGGGCCCTTTTAACATGTGATCACCCAAAAAATAGTTCCTCTTCATTATTTTTTCAATGCAAATGAGTTTGCCTGCATCACTGGAAGTGTACATCCCTTCAATCTCCAGCTAATGGTAGAAAATAGTGATGCTATTCTGCACTTTTCTTTCNCTACCTTTTTCTGGGTTAGCTTAATCGGGCTTTGAACAACCCGGCCCAGGAGCTACGCTTTTAGGCTGGCCTAAATCTATATGTTATCATTTATATACCATGAAGGAACTAAGGGTGTTACTACTCCAATCTCCCCCCACCCCTCCAACCCCAAATAGGATGCTGGTCCATCATTTAAGGTATAACACCGTGGGAAGTATTATGGTCTCATGGTTAGTGCACTTGACCTGGGATCAAGTGGTCCTCACTCCTGGTTCAAGCTCCAGTCGGGTATACTGTGTTGTATTCTTGGAAAAGAACATAGATTAGTGTCAGCCTGATGTGCGACTTGGCTCATATGCAGACTTCACCATTTAATATCTTACCAGACCTTACCACTTAATATACACCAGAGTGGAGAGTCTGACACTGTGAGAGTGAAGTATCAGTTGCCCACGAACACATCAGTGACCCAGACCAGGACTCAAACATGTACCACTTGATCTGGAGTCTTATGAACTGATCATAATTTGGGCTATGACAAAATTCAAATACATGGTTCATACTCTATGTTGATGAGGTATGAAATGCACTTTTATAGGTTGCTATTGACAACAACAAAAGAAGATTCAAATGAAATGAAGATGTGACCATCACAGTTGTAATTCTAAAAAAAGATCATGCATCTACCTTTTCCTTGTGTTTTTTACTGGGCCTCTTAGAACTAACAGAAAGTCTCCTGTTGCCATACACTTTGCGTGCCTCTTCTCTCTCTTCTCCAGTGATAGTATGATCATCCAACACCAGTAAGCTAGGAAGATGGCTTATAACATAACACCTGCATTGAATCCAAAATGTGTTACATGTACATACATGTATGTAAACTGCAAATCCAGTCTCCTGCCACTTAACAGCTGTAGCCCGCAGTGTCTGGTCATACGTGCATGCAATTGAATGAGGTCAATTATGAGGAAGAGAATCACTTGCATCATAAAATACTAGCATGCCAAATTTGAATATCATTCATTAAATATTTGGATCTCATTAACTACTAACAGGCTTAGAAAACAGGGACTCAAATTTGGCATTTGACTTCTGTCATGACTGAGAGACAAGTTAAGATTGTACATGAACATTAATTTTCAACATGTCCACAAAAATTATCCTAAACATAAAAGGGAAATATATGATAAAGATAACAATGGTTCTGACCATAAGGGGCTTCAATACCTGTAGTACATTGAAGTAAAATCATTAATCTAAACAGTACACTGATCTTCTCACACAGAAGGAAATAAATCTAAATACATAAATTAAAGTTCCTTCAAAGAATTTTTGTTTCACAAATTAAATCTAGACTAATACTCTGTCTGTCTGCTTTTAGCTATTAGTTTGTTTTAATCATTCGAAGTGTTGGTACTGGTCAACCTCTGGATCTGACAATTTTCTGTGAACATTTTCAGTGCATTCCTTTGGGATGATCTGAAGCAGGTCTACGATCCAAGAACCCTCAGATTATATAGCATCAAACTGGTGAATCCACTCTGGGCAGGAATCTGTCAGTTCCCTTGATGCACCATTATCCAAGTGTTCTAGAATCACTGATCCTGATCTGGATCATCACAACAGAATACATCCCATATTAATAAAACCACTTTATTTAAATGTTGACACGTTTAGCATTACTTTACAAATTGGGGACCCCAAAATAAGTAAGTAAGCATTGTTAATTGAACAGAAACATGTTAAAATTCCAGCTGGCTGGAGGCTGAACAGTTGGCTATTTACAAAGCATGAATTGAAGTTGAACTTGGGACCACCAAACACAAATCCATCAAGTGGCAGGTAGGAGGCTGTGAACCTGGGACCTACAGATTACAAATCCATCGTCCTAACCACTAAGCCATGCCACCTCCACCCTGTGGTCTCTTATTTTGTGATTGTTTTCAATACCTGTAGTCTTTGTACTGCTGGTAGGTACCTCCATTAAAATAACTTGGAGCTGCTTCATTGTTCATCATGCTGAAGTACTTCAAATTCGGCAAGCACTTTGCTACAGTCTCAATAAAAGCACTCAGATTTGTAATTTTATTCTGGTTCACCCACAGTGTGTGTAGAGACTCCATGTATGGAAATTTCACATGATTTGTCAGATTGTTATTGTCTAGAATTAATGTGTTGAGTTGGGTAAAGTCCTGTAAAAAATGAAAGTCGCTTATCATTGGTCAAGGTAGACAACACTGAGTTTGAGCACAACCTGATAATAAAGCAAATGATAAGTAAAATTAAGATTTTGCCCCAGAAATTTCTCCAGATGCATTCATGAGCAAGAATTTGTAGCAATGTGTGGTCTCAGGCACGCGTTGGGAAGGCAAGGAAGACATTTGCGATGTTGAGAACAATATGGCAGTCTACGGCACTGACAGCTTAGACCAAGTTGAGAGTCTTTGGGTCAAATGTGAAGGCTGTCAAACTTGGTGGCTGACCAAGGGATTAAAGCAGAAGCTGCCAGTGTTCATCAATAAGAGGTTGAGGAACATCCTGTGGATTTGGTGGCCTGGAAGAATATGCAATGAGGAGCTTTGGAGACAAGCAGGGCAGTGACCAGTAGAGCAGGAGATAAGGCAAAGAGCTTGGGGTTGGATTGGCCACATGTTGAGGAAACCAGACAGATACATAGCCAATTCAAGAGGGCGATAGAGTGGAACCCACAGCGGAAGCGCCAAAGGGGCAGACCCCAGCACACCTAGAGGCGCACAAGAATGGCAGAGTTGGAGGAGAGACAGCTCACGTGTGAAAATAGGGTCAGGTGGCGGGTGTTGGTGGACGACCTATGTTCCATCGGGAACGAGAAGGATTGAGTGAGTGTGTGTGTCCCTGAAAATTTCCATGCTCACCCAGGACCAACCCCAGGGAAGGTATGAATAATAGAATATTAGAATATTATCTTTATTAGAATAATATCTTTGAGAAGGCAAATCAAACTGTGTAATTGAATTCGAGTAAATAAAAAAATAAAAAGTCCCCTCGTTTACTAGTATGGGTTTATTCAAATTTTCCCCCGAGCATCCCTGACCTTTCATATAAGATTCCCCTCCCCACCCTCTGCCGGGGTCCAACAATGCTTCCAGTTGTTGTTCAAATCAATCTGTAAGACACTCATCATTAAAACCACGAACCGTGAGTTTAAGTGTTCATTCAACAAGTTCCAACTGCATAGTCTAACCTCAAGCTACAGAAAGGATACGTGAAATTATTATGACTTAAATCCAGGACAGTGATGTCGTCATACTTGCTGTTCCATCCTGTAGGAAGTTCCGTGAGCTCTCGATAGGCCAACGAAATTCTCCCTGGGTTGTTCGGATCCATCGTTACTGAATCCATAGCATGAAATAAAGTAATTAGGTACGACAAACCTTACCACAAGTAAGTCTACTGCTGAACCGGCGCTTCATCAGTGGAACCAGACTGGCGCTAAGTTCCTTTGACATTACCATGGTACGGTCCCGGGGTACGGTCGGTGTCTCAAAATGATCTTTTTTAATTACTAGTAAACCTTTATGCGTAAATTGACTAAAAATTCACAGAAGTTTTTTTCCATACATTTCTTGAGATGAAACACAGAAATGAATTCTCCCGAGCCAGGCATAATCGCTTTTTCTTTTTTAGAACTGGCTCCAATAAACGACCTCTCTCTCCCCTCGCGTCATTTGAGTTGTTGTCTGTTGTCGATGATGAGCCCGCAAAGAATCAGCTGAAACGCAAACAACTCTACCGCCATTTTCAAAATGGCGACAGTGGACGAGCTGAAAAGTGGTACGCTGCACACAAATTGTCACTAAATGTGTCATTCTTATTAAGTTCTTTTCTCTGATTTGTTGGTTAAACGTAAATGTAAGAATTGCTTATTTTGCATTCGTATCAGTGTTAAAAGAAACCTTAGAAAACAGAGGAGTTCTTGGTCAAATTCGCGCTCGAGTTCGTGCAGAAGTCTTCGGCGCTTTGGACGATCAAGTAAACGAAGTTTGCACCTACTGTTGTTTTGAGTATCCTTGTGTGCCTTGTGTGTCAAGTTAAGCTCAAGCTTATAATTTAAAATCAATCACGCTGACGCTATTCTGTTAAATCTGTTCAATATTATTTTAGTCAGAAGCAAGACCTGTACTTTCCAATGAGAACTTGTTAATCAATGAACTTATCAGAGAATACTTGGCATTCAACAAATACAAATACACGGAGTCAGTCCTTTTAGCAGGTAGAACTTTCTTTAATACATGCATGAAGTGGGTGACTACTGAGTTTGGTCGACTCAAGACCAACCATGCCTGATATGCCACCAAAACATGATTTATTATTTACCATGACACCTAAATGTGGCCACGAATCTGGCCATATCAGACCAGTGTCTTGGTATTACAGGATATCATGACAAAGGAATGGCTTCTGATTAGCGAATTGCAATTTTTTTATGAAAATGATAATGATTATGAGTCAGACTATGTATGTCTACATGTGCTAGAAATCGATGTTAAATAGAACAATTGAGCATATTGAATGAGGTTTTTTGTAATGTGAGGAATAATCAAGGGTGTGGTGTTATCAGGCAAAGCTGAAGGCTGAGACTGCCACCAGTTAAGAGACTTTGATTGTTCTGAATATCATGGAAAACTGAATTTCTTCACTGTTCAAATTTCCCTGTGACACAGTCACCCTAATGCCTGTTCTTCCATTGTATTACATGTAATCCCAGAGACAGGTCAACCCAAAGAACCAATGGACAGACAATTTCTTGTTCAAGAGCTTAACATCACAGAGCGAGACTCTACATCACCCTCCATGTAAGAGGATTACATTATAATTTCTATACATGGATTTACTCGAGCTAAGACTTCCTGAATATAGTGTATTACACAACCATGAACATTTATTTGATCCAGTAGAGTAAATCAATGGAATTTTCAAATTTCAGCAACTTGATATGTGCATTGTCTGCTTCAGCTTTCAGTTTTGGCAGATTCCTCTTACTATCATGGTTTACACCATTTACCTTATCCAAAATCTTTTAGATTTTTGCAAGCACAGATTACAGAAAGATTGCTGTTTTCTTGTAGGCCACTTTTGTATGGCATTTTAGCTCATTTTCTTCAAGGAGGCCACAGCGATGGAAGAAGATTGAGAGGACTGAAGGATGAGTCATTGTTAAGGCCTGTCTCAAGAGGTTAGTACAATGCTCTGTTACCTTGTAACTGTGATGATGTACATTGAACATTGTTAAATACCCAGACACTTTGATACTTACTCATATCACTCCTCTGTGACAAGAAGTACATAGCACTAATTTTTTTTGTCGGTTTGTTTGTTTTAAATATCAATCTCTACGATCATGGGGAAGTTGTTATTATAAATTTGTATTTAGTCTCACAGGAAAGAGTTCATATTAAGAATTGTTTTTCTTATTGCTACAATCATGATTTCTTCCCTTCTGTATAACATGTGAAGATTTAGTGCATTCAATGCTAAGTGAAAAAAAGAAACAGAATGACCCAATGTTGAAGAGGCTACATGACCATAACCTGCACAGGGTCCCCTGTGATTCTGGAAGGGACTTAACACATTGATCCACAGTGGCCCTGCAACATTTGATCAGATCTTTGTTTTGCAGTTATCTTATGTTAGGAGCATCTGGCATCTCTTAATAGTGTCATTTCACTTCCATTGTTTTGATCAGATATACATTCAAGAGGAAATCCAGAGGGATTGCTGCATGTTCAAGATAGAGGTACTGAAGACACTGAATTTTATGTTAAATGGTGTACTTTATCTTGTGAAAGGCTGAATGTAAACATTAAAACACACAATACACCTTTTTAAGGACATATTTCATCGTGTAACTGACATGTATTTCAAAATGTTGTGCCATGTTTGTTAAATGAAGATATGAAATGCTGAATGTATTTACCCTTAAAATATTAATTCCAGTCCCACCGAAGGTTTTTGTCTTGAACTTTCCTTTGGGAATTCCAGTTTAGGGTCTTACTTCCTTCAAAAANCCCCCCCCTTCCCTGCCCACCTCCTGCTCAGAATGTCTAATGACCTTCTTGGGATTACCATGGAGTCTTCTTGAAACTGCACAAATCAATAATAACTGAAACCACCATTTAATTTTGAAACAGTCTTTCATAAATGCACTGTCTTTTTCCTTCGGTGTACAGGTGATGGAGGTAGATTGGACTCAAGCTTTGGTCATGAACCTGAGCCTGTTGTGTTTAGAGGAGGGAGAAGATGACACTTTTCAATTTCCAGGACTGATTAATTCATAACTTCTCTGTTACATATCAGTAACAAATTCAGCTAAACAGGTTGTGAGAGCACAGCTCTTTATAGAGCAGTTTTCAATTGAGTGTTGAAAGTAATCACCACAGGTTATTACTGTCATTGGTTTTGGTCTTTGTTTTACTACAGTTTGAGATTGGCTGAGTGGTGTAACTGGTAAGTAATTAGTTTGGTTTTGGTTTTATGACACTCAATTGAAAACTGCTCAAATGTCACAGAAAGAAAAAAAAACAGGGGAGGGATGTCAAATGTATATTACAAATGAGAAAGGGGATTTGAGACACTGACCTTGGGTGCTTACCATTTAAGTAAAACATTTGGTTGGAAAGTACCAGTAAATGACTGAACAGAAATTTTCTGGGAATATTGCATGGAAATTGAGGACCACGTCTTGGAGTGGTCCTTTCGTTGCAGGTGGTAGAAACCATTGAAAAATTCTACACCTTTTTTCATATTCTCCCTTTTCCAGTCACCTATCAGTGGAACTAAACAATAACTAGAAACCAAATAGGCACCATCTTTTTAAATCAGTTTTCTGATGTTGAAAAAAAAAGCTTGTAGTGCATGTATTTAACAGTCATCTCAATCGGAACAACCTTCTGTAGGATAAATTGCAAGCATTCATCATTTTGTTACCAAATAGAGAACTCTGGCTTGTAAGAAAAATTGTAAACTCAACATCTAATGGCTGGACACTATTTTTAGCATTTTGCACTGCTCATTGGTTTTTACCTTGTTTGCTACTCCTAGTTCAAAAATTGATAAATAGTACTTTTGTATATGACTTAAAGTATACTAGAGTTAAAGCTTATAGCTAATGTTTTGTGTAAAGTTCATTGAGTCCTCAGTGCCTGGAGAACTGGAAACAGGTTTTGCATTGCTAAATCTTTTCTTCAAGATATTGCTTTCTACATCTAGAGTTGCCAAGTTCCTAGATGTAGTTGTAACAAGAGTTTATATTTTATATAACCACCATCAATAGTTTGTAATAAACTAACTGCCATAAATTAGCTTTAACTGCCATAAATTGGCTTTCAAATGCCCTTTAAGAGCCAAAATTACATGATGTAACAAGGTAATGACAAAATTTGAAAGGGGTTAGTCCTTGTTTTGTTTACAATTCCCCAGCATGGCTAGCGGTAGGCTCTTTAATAAATTGCCCTTATTTCTCGGCTTACACTTTTGTCCATAAATGAATTCGTCAGTATGCTAAATTCTGTCTCACACCATCTCTGGTGATCAATAGACCTTTTTCGCTTGGGCGGTTTGTTTTCCCATTATAGACCACGCGATATTCTCTAGAAAATTGTTCTTTTATCCGTCTTAAAATTATTTATTCTTTTGCAGACGACTATTTGAAAATTTGAACGGAAGAATTCTCCAGAGTATCATCACATGGTCTGAAATGGGGCAACAAACCGCCCAGTCGAAAAAGGTATATGGAGCGGTTTTCAGTAAAGTATCAAAAGTACCTTGCATTTGTTTTTGCTTCACTATGCTTAGCAATTAGTTTAAAAAGATCAAGCGCCACTTTCTCAACCAATCACAAGGAAGACCAAAACCAATCACGATTCGCGCGCTCACATTGTTTGGTTCACTTGATTTTCCGTGTAATTTCTGACTGGCTAGAGTGGCTATTACGACACTCATGATCAAGTGGAAACCGCTCTAAAAAAACCGTCATATGATTTGTCTCAATCTTGTTCCTGGCTCAATCATACACGTAATAAGCCCAAGCAGCTGTAACCAAGGGAACAAAACTCCCAAGTTTCACACAACGCGAGCCAGTGTTGCAGTAATCTCCCATACAACAACTAAAGTCACATTTGATCACATCCAGCCCCTCACATGTCGGATTGTAGGCAGTACACAGTCTATTAGAGGTGCATTTCTTGTGGAAGAGTTTGGTGGAGTTTGTTAATCTTTCCTTGCTGAGAGTCAGACATTGGTCGTACTTGTACGGGCAGTTGTGAGCTTCTTGGTGAGATTCACAGTCAGATAATGAGATCCCACTTGTGCAGATGTAACATTTCACACCTAGGGAAGTCAAACAACAACAGAAAAAAAACCGGGTTATAGTAGATAAGCCTGACAATTTCCAAACCCCAAGGCTAGTTCAATTCTATGGCACTGAGCGACTCACTATAGCTCCTCTTAACACAACACCTGTAGCTAGTGCGACGCTATATGGCCGTTAGTGTACCTGAAACAAATCGCTGTCACATGCTTATGTAGATGGAAATTCTTCTTGGAAATGGTGTGATCACACTTATAGGCCAGGAAACTAGGATGTGATTTGCGGGTGTAACGAAGTTGTGGTGCAGAAAAACGTCTGGTTGTTTCACTATGTAATCTTCTCTTGCAATCTTGACGAGAAGTGATTGTAACACTCCCTACAAAAGAAAAAAATGTCTCAAATGTTCACTTTCCGGGGCTGCTGCGAGGAAGTATTGCACAAGGGACGTTTATTACCTTGCCGAGTTAATCAATGCCTACTCTGTAAGGAATTCAACTTCACCCTACTTGCCTCGCAAAGGTGCAGAAAAATTGCACTTAGAATTACTTTTAAACTGTAAATAGCGATTTTATGTTTACCAGAGCAAATACCCCATTCTCCGTCACGGTCGTAGTTATCGGTTGTCGCACACCAGTGGAAGTTGGACGGACCTCCTCTGGTACAGAAATAGGTCTCTTGTCCCTCGTATGTGAATGGAAGCACACAACATTTGCCGTCCTCTGTTCTTTGCTCACATATAACATCCTCGTCTCCATACACTGCGAGAAATCAATGCGACAAAAATATAAAAAAACGATATTTCGCTGCGACCGACATTCACTTGTGACACACTAACTTATTGCTACGCGTGCCACAAAATGTTTGGCAAAATTGCTCGAATAATAATGATAATGATAATGATAATAGATTTATTTAGCGCTAAAATTATAACATATTCTAAAGCGTTTTACAATGTAAGATTTAGTTTTGCAGTAAAAATATAAGAAAAATGTTTCTAAAAATAATACAATTTAAAAATCATATTATAAAACTATGGCATGCTATACGCTCATTTACAAAAGTAAGTTTTTAACTTTGATTTAAAAACAGTCAGGGTTGGACTAAGTCTTATTTCACGAGGAAGTTTGTTCCAGAGAAAAGGTCCAGAGTATGCAAAGGCGCGATCACCGAATGTCCTGTGTTTGGTTCTGGGGACAGCAAGGAGGTTATGGTCTTGGGAGCGTGCGCAAGCGACAGGTTGTGGTAAAGTCTATATAAAGTCCTTTATAAAGTCAGGTGCTTGATTATCAAGAGCTTTGTAAACAAGAAGTAATAGTTTTTTAAAAACCGAACACTATAAATCACAGGAAGCCATTGCAGGCCGTACAAGGGAGAGGAGATATGGTCAAGCGACGAATGCATGGACAAGAGTTTTGGATGTCTCAGGACTGAGGAATTTCGTTATTTGCCGAATTCTGTACAGGCCATAAAACGCTTTACTGCAAATCTTGCCAATACGAGGGAAGGAACGCGTGAAGCGACCCAGCTTCCAGTTCGATACCATAGTCGCGCTCATCTCGCAAATTGCATACTAAACAGCTGCTCTGCTTCAGTTTCAGACAATCTGATTGAATTTAGACACGACCATACCTTATTTTACGTTTTCCAATTTAAAATATGATCACCTGTTTTTTTTTAATTCCTTCCAATGATAACAAATACTCTTTACTTTATGCATACCAGTTGCAAATTTGCTTTCGTAAGCTAAATCTCCTGAAGACAATATATGCTGGTGTTAACAACTAAAATAGTTGAAATACTCGTTTTAAGCGATAACCTACCTTGTCGAAGGATTATGAAGAATGCTAGTACTTCCAACAATAACAATTTCTTCCTGTCTGTTTTGAAGTGCGCAAGAGATGGTAACATGGCGGGTCCCTTCCCTCGAAGGAAATTCGCAATTTCCAGCGTAAACAGACTTGGACGACTCCAAAAGCCACGGATTATTGCGTAAAAACCCAAAAATAACGGCCCTTTTCGCTGAAGCGACAAGTCGAATTGCTACATTGCTGAAAATACGACCAAGTTTGTTTCAAACAACACAACAGCATCCCACACCTTGAACAAGAACGACAAAATGATATGCTTATTTTACTCTTCTCGCAGAGAATTCCCGCTGGTGAGTAATTTTTGCCAATTACAATAATGCCTTCCCTCAGCTTGCAATTTCGCAGTGAAATAAAAATAAAATAGTCACCGTATCTATTTTCTATCAACCACAATCGAGACATTTACGGAAACACGAATGAAACTTTTAAAGATCTTACAAACAATCTGGACCTGTAGCTTTGTGGTTTTCTTATCTTAAGAGTGCAATTCTTGTTGTGTTGACGGTAGGGCACTATTTTACCAGCCAAATTGTATTTATTTCCTGTGAATCTCTTCATCATTAATTATATATATCTTGTGGGTCTTTTTGTTTTGTTTTTTTCTAGACTGGCGATGCTATAAGTGTCAACTGTCTCTAACTTTGGAAATGTTTTATCTTTACTGCAACGAAGTCTATCAAGTAAAATTGGCAATATTTGTATTTGCATTTTCTTACACTCCACATGATTTCACCCAATCGCGACGCCTTGATTTTGTGTGGACCTTTTGGTCAGCATTTTATTGTTTATATTTGTTCATTGACATAATTTGAAGCTTTTTGTCTTTCTTCGTAATGAATTCATTTTTCTTCCATTTTTTGTTTCTTTTCTCCTATTTTGAGGAAATGATGAGAGCGTTTAACTAGCTTTTGATAAACCTGGTTTTTCTTCCTACCGCATAAAGTAAATTAAGGTGTGAAATGACATTTTTCCTAATTGGTGCTGTCAAATATTTTCCATAAAAAATGAATACTAAAATATTCGCAGTCTATGCTAAATTTAAAATGTTTGTGCTTGTTAATTCGTTCAAAATCCAAGAAATCTTTCCCACTGAATAATTCTTTGACCATCATTTTTAATACCAAAGCTCTTAACAAGCAAGGAAAACTTACCATAGAGAATTAGCAAGCAGGTATTACAACAGCTTTGTTAAACAGTGTAATAAGCGAATACCGCATAAAAGTGCATTTAAACTGATAAAATCGTTGCAGTATTGCCCTGGTAATTTAGTTTCGAGATCTCAGCTGAAAGCTGCATGTTAACAAAGAATAGACTTTGTTACTGCTTCACCTGATGTCACACTCGGTAGCACCTAATAATTCATTGAGCGCGCGCGTATGCTCCTGCCTGGGTTTAGTCACTCCTCTCCGTTTTTCAGTGTGAAACAATTGACATCATCGTGCCCATTGCAGGTCCACTCGATCTATCATGCGGTCGTTGTCGCGTTAAGTTAGCGTCAGGGATTAGTTCCAAGTTTTCTACCTAGTAACAGCCTTGCTTCCATATTTGTATTTTAACATGACAAATTGTAACAAATTCCGTAGCAGTGAGAAAGAAGTTAAACATTAAAAAAAAACAAAAATACGACATAAAGAAAACATGTTTGGGATAAGTAATGACCCAAACAAAGTTAAAGACTATAAGAAATACAATAAAAAGCTGAACAAAATAAAAGAAGCTTCAAAGACAAACTACTTCAAAACTCAATTTAAAATGTTTAGTGATAACTTAAAAGCAACGTGGAAGTTGATAGGAACGATTATAAACAGAAAGAAAGCCCAACAGGGTACGTTAATTCAAAAACTCTTATATAAAGGAAAGTGTTACAATGATAAGGCAAGTATTTGTCGTCAGTTAAACAGTCACTTTATAAATGTTGGGCAAGACTTCGCGGCACAGCTCCCAAATTATAAGTCCTACTAATTTCATTCGTAGGCGACTCCAAAACAGTCACGTTCAGCGGTATTTACAATCCCGAAGTTCAGGATGCGTTGATTGGGCTAAAACTAAATAAGTCTTTTATAGGTACGCCCCCCAGGTGCATTAAGTTAGCATTCAATTTTATGAGTGAACCCCTAGCTAGACTTTTCAACTTATCGCTCTCGCAAGGAATTATGCCAAATCTTCTCAAAATATCAAAGATTACGCCGGTTGATAAAGGAGGCGAAATAATTGGCCCGACGAACTTCCGTCCTATTTCAACACTGTCAGCCCTTCCACAAATATTTGAAAAACTGGTTTACAAACTACTTATTTCCTATTTCGAGCTGAGAAACTTGACATTCTTTTTGAATATCAATTTGGATTTCGTAAGGGTAAGGTCCACCGCTCAAGCCATAACTGAAATTGCGGATACTTTAAGAAAAGCAATTGACAACAATCTGTATACATGTGGAATTTTCTTAGACTTTTCGAAAGCTTTTGATACGGTTAACCACAGCATCACTTCTACAAAAATTAGAATCATACGGAATAATAGGGGTACCGCTGGCCTGGTTTGAAAGTTATCTTACCAAAAAGGAAACAATACGTTGCCTTGGGTGATACTGAGTCGTCCTATCAAACCATGGTCTGCGGTGTCCCTCAAGGAAGCTCGTTAGGTCCTTTCCTATTTTTGATATACATCAACGACCTCCCTAATTGCTCTGAGGTCCTTTCATTTAAGATATTTGCGGACGATACTAACTTGTTTGCTTCTGCAAAAGATTTAAAATCATTAGGATTGCAAATGAATTCAGAACTAAAAAAAGTTAAAGAATGGTGTGACAGAAACAAGCCGAAAGAAAACATCGAAACAAAATACATCGAAAGAAAACCAATTACATGATCGTAAAATCTCAAAGGAGAAAGAATACGAATGTTAATATAAATATAACTAACCGAGATGGATCATGCCACTCCATAGAACAAAAGGACCACATTAAATATTTGGAAACAATGATCGACAGTTCTTTAACTTGGAAATGCCACATCTCATATGTATGTGCAAAGTTTTCACGGAATACAGGAGTAATCTCTAAGTTAAGGCATTATCTACCTCTCAAACATCTTACGCAGATCAATTAAAATCTCAGTTATTTATCCTTATATTTCGTATGCTATTGTAATCTAGGGCAGCACCAGCAAAAAAATTTACAAAAATACAAACTAAGCAAACTTGTGTTATTAGGTTAGTGTTCTTTGCAACTCTATCTGGCAAAAATACCGATAGTGCTCTACCTTTACTTAATATCTTGGAAATCTTAACGGTAACAAATGTATATCGCCTGCATGCTCTCAAATTCATACATGCATGGCACAAAGGTATTTTGCCAGAACTCTTTAACCATTTTTTCCAGTATGCCAGCAACGTACATAATTGTAACACCAGGTATGCGGGCAATCAAAATCTTCACAAATTCCGAGTTAAAACAAATACTGGCAAACAAATTATCTCATTTATGGTCATTGATCTTTGGCAAGAAATATCATACAAGTTTAAAGATCTAAATCAATTTGCTTGACAATACCATTGTCACCTTTAATTGTTATATATGTATCTTTTTTTCTTTTTTTTTTATGCTAATATTGTAATTTCAAAATGTAAGTGCAAAATAAAGTGAAGTTGAGTTGAAGTTGAAGCGAAACCTGTATTAAGTGGGCCCCATATTAAGCGGACACCCTTTATTGAGTGGACACCAGCTTGAGTCCCAAAATTTTCTCCAGTCCCACATTTACTGTAAGATAAATCTGCATTCAGCGGACACCTCTGTTAAGCGGATGCGGACACCAATATTGAGACATTTTGTTGCACAAAACCTGCAATAAGCCGACTAGGGCAGTTTACTTCTAAAGGTTCACCTCGGACTCCTTTAACATTGTTCAGCGATGTCGTTTTAAAGCTAAGTGACTATTCCAGATTGATGCATTGACTGACCGGACATTGTACTATGAGTAGCCGTAGCTATTCTTTGATCTTACACTGTGTTACGCTGTGTTACAAAAGGATTAATAATTAACTATTATTGGACAATATGTTAGAACCTCTTTTGAGCGGACACCCTGTATTAAGCAGACACTAGTGAGGGTCCCAAGGGTGTTCGCTTAATACAGGTTTCACTGTACTTCAGTATTCATCATCAGTTTAAGGATGCTTAATTACAATATGTGACTAGTAATATGCAAAGTAGATAACAAAGAAGTACTTGTAAAGAATAGAAACGAAGCTAATTGCAATAAACACGATACAAATTCTTGAATATAATACAAAAGGAATGATCGAAAAAGCGACCACAAAAGACTCGAAACGAATACGAAACTGCCGAAAATATTATGCAATTCCCAGAAGTTACGATACCAAACAAGGAAACGGAAAAACAAGGAAGACTAAATAATGAAAACCAAATTAAGTGTCAAATTAATGTTTTTGTCCAGGGCTGGGCGTTCCCAGTCTATTTGGAGGGCTTCTTAATCTTTAGTTGGAAGCTAATGGACGCCGAGTCCACGGTTTGACAACATGGGAAAATATTCCATATAACATAGATTCTTGCAAGACTGAACCCTGCAAATGTTTGTTAATATGGGAATTAAGTACGATCCGAAAGTGTCAAGTGTACACGAACCTTCACCGACATGACATAACTGGCAGGCAGCCCATTTAAATTTCTATACCACCAGATCAGAGAAGGTGACGCATTGGGAATCGAATCCTTCACACTAAACGTTTTTTTTTTTACCTATGAGAAGTAAAAGCTAACCTTATGTGCAAATCCTAGTTTCAGCGATGATCACGGTCTCCCTTGTGCTCCAAGAGAAAAGGGGCTTCAATAAACGTTTATTTGAAGAAAAATTTTGTTGTTTCACCCCTCTTTAATTCTTTGAAATATTCCTCCCGGTATGACTTAGTTGGGGGCGTTGTAGAACTTCTAACGATAGCAATTAACTGCCCTTCGTATAATAATACAAGAAAATTGTTTTTTCATCAAAATAGAAGTTAATTGTCGAATTTCAGAATGAAAAACGTTCTAAGTGTTGTTATTTCAAGGCCTCGTCTTCCGATGTACGGATGAGACCAACTTTGTATAGCCGGAAAAAGAAGTGAAACTGTTAATGGCGAGAAGCCTGGTATTCTTATGAAACACTGATGTAACTGATGAATACAGGGCGACTGTTGTCGATAAGAATATCTAAAAAAGGTCATTTGTGTATTGCCTCGGTCTCCAGAGTAAACTTATGTTAATATGGCATGTTGTGAATTATATGATAAAAAAAGACAAGGCATCATTCTCGTTGATAAATAAACAAAACATACTGATCACCTACATATCTACGATAGAAAATAACTTCAGGGCAGGGTCCTCGCATTTTTCTAACCAAATCCTTTTTATGGTGACCCAAGAATGGGTGCGAAGGGTAGGGGGAGACCCATAGCTATCCCGTCACAGGTTTGATCGTAAAAGTTCCCGTTGAAAGAAAAGTGAGTCTGGCAAACCAGCATAGTCTTCGGCGTTTCCAAGTTTCAATGATCATAAACAAGTCCTTATCGATTGTAACAGGTTCATTGGCAACATTCGGACAACGTATCCAGGCACCACAGTGAAGACAGAGGAATATGTCGACTTGTTCGTTTGTTTACATTTCTGCTGCGAATGACGAGAGGAAACAACAAATAGCAGACAACCGGTTTACTTGGGAATATTGAAACTGGCATGAACTTGATTGAGTATGTGACAGGATTCTTTATTATGCTACCCTTTGAATTGAGCGAGCAGAGTTGCCGGATGATCGGCTTCCTTGACGGTTGACGGTTGATCTAGGGAAGGGGCCCGGAGGCCCCGCCCCCAACTATTGTGGGTAAAAAGAGAAGAAATCGCAGAAGAAAGAATAGCCGGCAGAGCAAGCAAAACAAAACCGCCCCGCCCCCCTGCCCCCTTAGCCCAAGGTCTGGATCCGCCACTGTTGATTGACTGTTGACCACGGTCAAGTTTTAGACTTGTTGACGTGTAACAGCATTGACACCCTCAGCTTGCGTTGGCAAGAAAAGCAAAAGTATCAAACTACATTGAAGTTTTCACGAAAAGTATGAAAATGTTTGTATTTGCATGAAAAACAAAAGTGGTCAAAAGTATCAAGTTGTACAAATTTACGGTAAAAATCGAAGTATCCCAGGCACGTACATTACGGCCGCCCAAAATGATAAAGTTTGTGGTTTAAAAAAGAAAAACAAAGTCTAGGCCAATATTTACCTTCGTCGGACGAGCTTTTTTGGATACCAGTAACTCTCATTGACTCTTGATACAATTAACTATAAAATAACTGAGCTACTACGCGCGTCCTCATTGGTCGATAGGTGTGTTTAGATGAGAGTCACGGCTAAACACGGTTGTGACGTTTTAGATTCGCGCGTATTTTACGAGAATTATTTTATAAAGGCAATAGAGACTTTTTTTCGTGTTTACATAGCCTCGATTACATAACACTCGAGGGGCTGGGAGGTTTCTCGAAAGTTATGCAAACCCTCGCCTACGTCTCGGGTTTGAATAACAGTCTCGAATTCTCCCAACCCACCTTGTGTTCAGATGAGGCTACGTAAACACAGAAAAAAGTTCTCTATTGCTTAAATGTATAAGCTTACTCTCTTTTTTTCCTTTGTTTCTCTAGCTATTCATTTCTTTATAAAGCATATCTTAAGGAACTCGATCATCTAATCAAACTTCTTCTAACTACTCTTCAAACACCTTTCGAAGTCACCAGGTCCTGTTACAACGCTTCAGTGCTGAGGAGAATCGTTCAGGCCTTCACTGACTTCGAAGTATTTATTAATTGTTATTGCTGTTGTTTTACTGGCCCGCCGGCCGACTCATCGCTTTTGGAAGTCTATACTGACGCGTGAGCTTTTCACCTAGATTTTAATCTTCAAACTCTTGAGGTTATTTCCACTTTTCTCTCCAAATTAGGCGCGCGCGAATCAGACACTCGCTGAAAATATCCGTCCCAGCAAGGAACAAAATGTAAAATGACAAGTCTGTACGACGCAATATGAAGGCTGTGACGTCAATACTCTGGCCTCTTTATGCAGATTTAAAAGTCTATATCTTCAAAAATGTCATGTATACTATTGTAGCTATTTTGATTTATATGTTTCAACTTTTTTCCTGCTAGAGGTATTTTTCCGACAGAAGGAACAAGTGTACAGTTGGTCAGCGGTTATCCTCCTGGATGAAGACTCTCGAAATGGCAGTGGTTGAGCCGAATTCTGTGACATATTTCTGCGCTATTTTAGCGTGGAAACTCTTTGCAGGATGTTTATAGTACATCTTAACATCTTAAATGGATATATAGAATTTAAAACGCCTGAAAATGACTACGTTAGAACTGTATACGAAGGTACTATTCAAGGGCTTCGTTTGTTGTCAACTTGTGCCTGGTGCAAATTTCGCAATTGCAAATTTATCTGTCGGTTTCTCTTCCTTTCTTCAGGGAGCTCGGGTATGGATACCTCATGATCAAGTTGTATGGATTGGTGGAGAATTAACCAAAGATTTAAAAGAGGACGGTGTCCTAGAGATTGAGTTGGAAGATGGAAATGTAAGTTGTCATTAATTTCATGTTGTTCTTGTTAGTTTCGGAAGAGTTCGGAGTTTTCATTTTTATTTGGAGGTGTTTACGGAAGCTTAGACAGTCTGCATTTGTTTCTCCTCGACAGGACATTACTGTTGATGTTTCTAAGGACAAGAAAAAGCTTCCTCCTTTGAGAAACCCTGAAATCCTTGTTGGCGAAAATGACCTTACAACCTTGAGCTACTTACACGAACCAGCCGGTTTGTACATGCAGACTTAAGTTATATCAATCAATTTCTTGTCTGTGTACATTTTTCTCCAGAACTTAAGAATTATTTTCCTTTGTTCTGTCTTCTCGTGAAACCCATTGAATATTTTGTGTCTGACGAACTTCATTTTAAATTGTCACATAAGGTTGCCGCTAGTATAAATCAAAAATCTATTTGGAAGCTGTTTGTTAATTCTCTTTATTTTGTTTTCGCTTTTAGTGTTATACAATCTTCAAGTGCGTTTCCTTCAGTCTAATGCGATATACACTTACTGCGGTGAGTATACATTCCTTGTTTATGAAAAATTTCCTGCTGTTTAAGCTTAAATTCTTTCTTCAAGTGTTGCAAAATAATATTGGAACTAAAATTTTAATCACTTCCAAACCATATCGCGAAGTTATTGGCTCGATGCTAATTGCACTCAAGGTTTGTAAGCTGCCCTGTTTATTCGCTGGATAAATCAGCGCACAAGCAATATCTTATTGTAAAGTAAGCAAAAGTGTTTGTTATCAAGCAGCATTTCGAGTAGTCTTTTGTTTTGGTTTTGGTTCAACGATGGCATTCTTCCTAAAGACATTTAAATTTTACATTGCCTCGGGCGAGGAAAGAGCGAGAGAAATCAACTAGCACATTTTTCAAATGCAAATTTATTTCACTTCTCTGAGTGTTTAAATTCCTGTCATTCCTATTTGGTTACGTATTTACATTTTGTTGAATGGCACTCTGGTTTAGAATTTTTATCAGTTTAAATCGGATCCCCCCAGAAAAATAATTTAGCAAGAAATTAGTGAGTTCATTTTGTATATCTTGTAAATTGGAAGGACGTTTGCATGTTACAGTTTTATTGTTTAAACTGGGCAATTTTGCAGGAAGGCAAAAGAGAAACATTGTTCTTTAAGGTTTTAGATAAGTCCTCAATTATCAATTTAATTGTACAGGTTTCTCATTACCTACATTTGTAGGACAAAATGACAATAGTTTTTAGTCATTGATTTGACTGTGTTAATTGAGTTCACTATTCCCGGTTAATTGTTTTTCTCTATGCTCTGTTGGAGAAATGATTTTTGGTTATAATGACCTACTTTTCCAACTGTAAAGTTTTGGATATAAGTCCCACCCCTCCCCTGTGTCAGAAGGCTCCCTCCCCCTCCCCACTTAAAGGTCCATCTGAATGTAAACAGAAACTATTCCGGTTTTATGACTCCATGGGTATAAACCCTCCCCTGACTGTATCTTGTTTCATCAATGCCATCACTCTTACAGAACAAGTAAGAGTATGCAACAATATATTTTTCTATCTTGAGAAATGCCATTACAGAAACTATGTAGTGTTTAAAGTGCACATCAGTTAATAATTTTTATATCCATTTGTTTCAAGTTGCAATAATTAAAATACAATCAGAAATAGAAATCAAAATGGTTTGAAAATTTATAAACCAAAGATAATATTTTAAACCACATGTAGCAAGACCATGCTTAGTATTGTTTTGCCAGTGAGATAAAAGACACATACTGCTAAATATGTTCAGCACTTGTGGTTTCTGACAGTGTTACTGTTTTGGCTGTAGGTATTGTTCTGGTGGCGATTAACCCTTATCAACAGCTCCCTCTCTATGGGCCAGACATCATATCTGCCTACAGTGGGCAGTCCATGGGTGACATGGATCCACATATCTTTGCTGTTGCTGAAGATGCTTTTAGAGCCATGGCAAGGTAACTTAGTTTAAGTATTTTTGAAACCTGAAGTGTTCACATGAATTTACATTTTTATGGCGCAGCAGTAGCAGTGTCAACACGCTTTTATCGAGTTGTGTGAGTGTTATATTAGCCGGTGCTGAAAAGTCACAAAAATGCAAAAGTTAAATTAATTTAAATTAAGAGAACTTTTCATTGCTAAATTTTAAAGGAAAAAATACTTTTTTTTTCTGGACTAAGCTACTTCCATGTAAGTTCTGTTTTTGTTTAGTTGATTTAATAATGCTAAAGTTTTAAAAGTAACATTTTTTCAAGGTTCTGATGGTTTTTTTTTTTTTTGCTGTTAATTAATACTTTTGTAACCCTTCACCACCTCTACTTCCCCGTCGTAAATTCTTATTTCTACATGTATGTTAAGAAAAAAAGTTTATAAAAACAGGGTTCCATTGTGTGGCAAACAGAGATACACTGATGTACATTAAAGCTGTAAACACTCTTTTCTTTTTCTAATTCAGAGATGGGCTGAACCAGTCAATCATTGTGAGCGGCGAGAGTGGTGCAGGTAAGACAGTAAGTGCCAAGTATGCCATGAGGTATTTTGCATCAGTGGGCGGAGCATCCACAGAGACACAGATTGAAAAGAAGGTCTTGGCGTCTAATCCTATTATGGAGGTGCAGTTGACAATTTTATAGTTTGAATATTGTTCAGGTAGCATTCAGTAATATTTAATTTATAGCAGAGCTCCAGGGGCAGGGAGCCCCATACTTATATAGGAAAGAAAAGGAAACCCATGAGTTGATTTTCTCATGGTTATCATGGCTAGTGGTATTGTTTGTGGGCGCGTACGCACAACGGTGACAACGACAACGGAGTTGCACAACCTGGCGGCCATACTCCGAATAATAGGTTGACAGAGACATGCAGCCTTGGTTTACCGTGTACTTCTTTGATATTGGACATCCATGTTATGATCAATTGACACCTGTCAAAACAAGGTATCCGCTGAATAGTATCACGAGACCATATCGCGGGCTCAAGTTTACAGGTCATCGAGATCTCATGTTTTTTTTTTAAGTTGACTGCTGACCAAGTGCTGGTTTTCGATTGGATCGTGGGCTAATGTTAGCTTAACTTGCTGAAAACAGGGTAGGATTGTTTGGAAGCCAGTTAACGTTAACCCAGGTTTAAAAGTTAACGGAATTATAACTTTTTCTTCTATACAAATTAATGTTTTTTGCTGCTTTGTTTTGTGTATATGGTGATTATTAAAACTCAAACCAGAAGGCCAAACAATATGCAGAAAACCTCACCGCAAAGTTACATGAAATCAAAATTCTACCTTTTCCTGGGTTAGCTTAATCAGACTCTGAACAACCCATCCCAGGAGCTACGCTTTTAGGCTGGCTTAAATCTATATATTATGTACCTGTCACTGATCAATCTTTGGGTAAATTAAAGATTGGACTCTTAAATGTTGACAGCCACCCTCCAGAAGGATTTAGCAGAGGGGAGTGGGGGCGGGAGACAGGGTAGAACAGCGGAGGGCTGGGAAATTCATCCTTCCCCTACCCCTCCCCTAGTCCACTTTTTTGCTCACTTGAGGCTTCTTGAATCTTACAAATCCAATATGGAGGCTCAACACTTTATCAGAATATTTTATCAGCACTCGCTCACCGAAAAATGGGCTAGGTATGTAGGCTATAAAAGTCTGCATATGAGCCAAGTGGCCTATCAGGCCATTGCTTATGCTGATTTCTATAGCATGGAGCGACTAGGAGTATTTCTACTCCCCCCTGGATGGGATGCGAGTCCATTGCGGGTTTACCCCCACCATTAAATTCGCTGGTACCCATTTATACACCTGGGTGGAGAGAAGCACTGTAAGAGTAAAGTGTCTTGCCCAAGAACACAACACAATGTCCCTGGCCAGGGCTTGAGCCCCCGACCACTTGATCCGGATATGAGCACACTAACCAGGAGGCCACCACACCTCCACAAAAAAAATATGCCTGGTATGTAGGCTATACACGTAGCTCTCTTTTTCTATCTCTCACTTTTGATATTTATAACTTATTTCAGGCCATTGGTAATGCAAAGACAATACGCAATGACAACAGCAGTAGATTTGGAAAGTACTTGGAGATAGCCTTTGACAGAAACTATCACATTATGGCTGCTCACATGAGGACATATCTACTGGAGAAATCCCGAGTTGTATTTCAAGCACCTGATGAAAGGAACTATCACATTTTCTATCAGCTGTGTGCTGCTTGTGATATCCCGGAACTCAAAGATCTTAGACTTGGTGAGGCAAGACTTAACTATAATTATAACTGCAGGTGTACTTGCCTAGCTAACAATGGTATTTTGTGAAATTAGATTACAGCTTCCATGCATATAGAATATTTTTTAAGCAATACTACTGAGAAAGCATGAAGCAAAAAGAAAAAAAGGCTTATTTTATGTGAAAACAAGTTATTTCAGAAATGAAAGCCATAAAACTACCAGAAAATCTTTGAGGCCTGATCATTCAGGACAGTGCCTGGTCCAATACTCGTGGAGAATATTGGAGTGGGAATGGATACATCTAATTGGTTGATTGTAGTTACTGGCCCTCTGAACTTAGTTGGGTTAAAAAGTATTTGTAAGTACACTTTTTGCTATATCTAGTCGTCTTACCTTAACTAAACTGTCAAGAACAGCTCAATCTCCTCAAGAAAAGCTGTTGGCCAACTATCAGACTACTATGGACCAATTGTTGGCCATTATCTAATTGAAGAAACAGTTACATTTCCAGCTTTCTAAACTGATGGTACATGTAGAAGCATCCATGTGGCGAAAAAGCACAATTTTCAGCATGAACCTTTACAATTTTGTCTTGTTTGTTTATGTTTTGTCCAGCACACCAAGATAACTTCTACTACTTGAATCAGGGAGAATGCCCGTATGTGTATGAAGTTGATGATGGAGAAAATTTTGAGGAGATGCGTGAAGCTATGGATCTTGTGGGAATCATGGAGGACGAACAGCTCATGATCTTTAGAATCTTAGCTGGTATTCTACACATTGGTAACATATATATTCATGCATCTGGAGAGGAAGAGAGTGAAATTGATGTAAGAAACTATTATGTTTGATGATCAATCATGTGTTGTTTTATAATTATGATTGTTTTCATAAATTTAGTTAAAATTAAAATTGATAGCAGCTTTGTAGAAGTATATTCTACAAAATGTTTGGCAAACAGTTTTTAAAGTAAATTTGTTTCAAATTCCAAAAGTTAGCAGCTCAGTGGAACGTCGCTTTAACAGGGTGACAAGGGACTGGGGAAACTGACTTATTTTATCAAAAACCTTCAGTGGTTACAAAAAATTTGCGGAAATTCAACCAAAACTTTTGTTATTTTTCTCAAGGTATGGTTAGAACTAATGGTTATTTCCATTGGGGTCACTCCAATTTTATTTAGCGAATAATTCAACTTAAGAAGTTAATGCTTTATCCTTTAATCATTTCATCTTTACCAACATTACACCAACCAATATTTGATTTCCTTTATTCTCAGAGATGCATTCTTACTAATTATTCTATTATGAAACATTTCTAGGACAGTGACTTTCATCTCACAGTTGCAGCAGACCTTCTGGGTATAGATAGAAGTCAATTTAAGAAGTGGCTTTGCAATCGCAAAATTGTCACTGTGCAGGAAGTGTTAATCAAACCACTGAATTCTGAAGAGGTAAGCAAGATTGGTGGCTTTCAAATAGTGTGTGATGATAAGGAAGTAAAGGTTTGAGAAATAATGAATTCAAAATAACTGTATGTGGCATTGTTCCTGCTTGTAGGCCAATTCTGGAAGAGAGGCCATCTGCAAGCACATTTATTCACAGCTTTTTAAGTGGATTGTTCAATGTATCAATAATTCTCTCACTACTGGAGTCAAACATCACTCATTCCTTGGAATTCTTGACATTTATGGGTGAGTTTTACAATTAAGCTCCATGCCATTAAATCCTTACAAAAAAGTTACTGCAGAAATAAGCGTACATGTAGTTTGTATGCTTTTTCTGTTCTCTTTTTCCACCTTTTCAGAATACTAATTAAAAATGGCTTGCCTGAGCATTGGCACTTTTGGTATTCTGAGGAGGCTATTAATTAAATTTAAAAAAGAAACATTTAGTCATAGACCAGGTACACATAGGTGCAATTCTGCAAAAAAATGTTCACAAAGTCTGTTGAAAAATTAAATTACATTTTCCTGGAGAAAAACTGGTAAAGATGTTTTTAGCAGACTGTACATTATACAGGCGGCTTGAATATGGGATGCATATGCATGTACATGGAGCACAGCTGGGACCCCTGATAGGATGTACTGTAGGTTGGGGTAGGAAAGACATTTGTCAATCTTCAGTGCAGTGTAGAACTTTTTTTGGAATTGCAACTTTTATGTTGTCATCTAATTAATAAGCCTATAGTTAATATGAAGTAGAAAATGATGTGCATGTTCACATTGGGAGAATTTGATAATTTGTAGAACAGAAGAACCCTAAGCAAGGGTTGATTGCTCAATTTTGAGTATTTTGAAATATGTTATGAAATGCAAAGGAGAGAGGTAGACATCTTTAAAATAAGCTAATAAATTGCAATAAATAAACAATAACCTCCATTTGGGGCAAAAATATGCTTGGATATTTGTCCGCAGACATTATCTGTACTGAGAAGTGAACAGTTTTCTGAGAGCATAGCTCGAGGAAAACTGTGAGCTATGAGGAACAGATAATGTCCAAGAACAAATATCCGAGGTTATTTTCTCCCCAAATGGAGGCTATTGTGTTTATTATCCTTCAAATGTTTTTGCAACACCCGCGGTTTTGAAAGTTGGGGAATATCATCTGGGTATTCCCCAGTTTTAGCTTGAGCATATTCAGTCACATGCACATTTAGACCAATCGCATGCAAGTGAAAACATTTGATAGATTATGACATGTGATAACAGGGTGTACATAGCCTCATTCAAGATTACTTATCTGCACCTATCAGAGTGCATGTCAATCAGAATTTTATAAATTTGTGTATAAATTGTAATATTATTATTACCAATATAAACCTGTTCAGAAGTGGATTGCTTAAATTGAGAAACAATGACTCTTTCAGATTTGAAACATTTGAAGTGAACAGTTTTGAGCAGTTCTGTATCAACTATGCAAATGAAAAACTCCAGCAACAGTTTACACAGGTAATCACTGCAGCCAGATTTACAAAAATGGAAATGGAAATTATATTCAATCCAGTGTTGCTTTTTTTAAAATTACATTTGTTTCTGGTTTTACTAAATTGTTGTTTTTTTTTTTAATTGTTACAAAGTTGAGACCATAATAGGCTATTTCTGAGTAGCTCTTACTAGCTTTTTGCGTCTGTTTCAAGATGAGTCTTTTCGTGAATAAGAATCTGTAGGTGGAACATAATTATATATTCACACAAAAAGACTCATTTTGACAAAGAGCAGAGAGGTGAATAGCACCTCAGAAATGTCCTACTGCTATCAGTAGAGTTGTAGAATTTTGCATCATTCTGTATTCATTGATGCCCGTTATTTCAAGGTTTGCTGTTGTTTTCCATTAAATAAATATAAAGCCATTGCTTTGCTTTAGAAATGTTATGTTTGCTTATTGTACAACAATGTTTGCAGCATGTTTTCAAACTGGAGCAGGATGAATATGTGAAGGAAGAGATTGAGTGGTCATTCATCAATTTTTATGACAACCAGCCATGTATTGACTTGATTGAAGCCAAGCTGGGAATCCTTGACTTACTTGATGAAGAGTGTAAGGTGGGTTTAAATTACAGTTTCTTTTCTTACATTGTGATAAAAAAATGTGTCTGTTCCCTTTCACTGTGACGTGTTGCTAGGCATCGCAAGTCAGGGTTTGTGGTACTAATGGATGTGTATGCCATATTTTGGATGGTTGTTGAGAACCAAAGTTTTTGTCGTATCCTGCACATTAAATACCGTTCTCTATTGAACAAGGGTGGTTCTCTGTAGGTAACTCCCAGAGGCTGATCTGGGGTGTGCACCCCCCCCNATTTGGACAAAGCTCAGGGGCAGATCTAGGGGGAGGGTGCAGGGGGTGTGCACCCCCCTGAGATGAAGCCTTCTTCTTCGTATTTGCTTTGAAAATTTGTTTACCTCACCATTCAGTTACACCATTCTTTTGTGGCACACCCCCTCCTAAGAAAAATCCTGGATCTGCCCCTAACACCCTAGCATTTCTATCCAAGAACAAAACCTAACAGCTGACAGGCAGACTGCACAGTAGATGGCAAGGATTGATACTTTGTATATCCAGATAAGAAAACAACGTTTACATATCCAGAGCAAAGGAAATTTTTACCAGATTTCGTGAATTGGTTTTCGCATCAGTAAATAATCCTTGTTTTATACTGTCACCATCCTAGATGCCAAAAGGAGCTGACAGCTCATGGGTACAGAAACTCTACAAACAACACCTGAAGAAACAGCATTTTAGCAAGCCACGACTGTCACAAACA